CTCCCGGGGTGACCTATCCAAATGGTGGCACTTTGTGTCACCGGGTGTTAATCGCTCAGTGTAATGCCCTGTTGGGGTAAAAAGTGAGTCAGTCAGTTCTCCTTCAAGAAGAAATACTTCTGCGATCGCAGATCCATGTGCCGGCCCTGTCCTCGCCAGACGAGGAGCGACGGTGGCCTAGAGCTAGACGCTTGTCTGCCGACTCGGAGGTCTTGCTTGAAATGCCTAATGCGCCATCTGCGTCAAAAGATACTTTTTTTTTAAAGGCGCGTCTTGCGTGGTTATTGTCTGATTACCAGAAGTTCCCATTAGACTATAACATGTGCACAGTATGTCAGGGTGTTGTAGAAGCGAGGTCTTGCTTTTTTAAATCCCTTTTCCGCCACCCCATAATCAGATCAAGAATTGTATTAAATCGCTGACACCCTTTTAAAATTAAAATATAAAAAACGATTTTTGACTATTGCGGGAAATAAGGGGGGGGGGGGGGGGGGCGTGGGCGAGGATGTGTGTGATAATATTTTCTATCATCATCAAGTACCATGTCGACAGCTGTGGGCAATTGTGCCCCTCCATAGTTTGCAATTTTCAACTGCATGTTTCAGTCAGTTCATATGTTGACATCCCTTCATGACAAAAGACTAAACAATCATCTTGCGTTGTCCTCCGCCTCTTTTTCCCACAAATCTACCAGTGGTCACAACATGATAACTGTCTTTTCTGTTGTTTGTAGTAAGTTGTCTTCAAGTCTTTACCTCTTTCAGAACATCTGGTTGCTCTTTTTTTGTTTATTTAGCCGTATTATAACACACACACACCCCCCCCCCCCCCACAACATAATACAGAGCCTGTGACGGGCCGTGGCATGTATGGGACGGGAAGTAACCATGTGGACACTATCGTGACTAGAACCGACCAAGATATCTGACTGTATCCAGTTGAAAAGTTATATAGCACATGAACAGTCTATGAACATTACTATTTTCTATGCTAACACTGAACCCTTTCGCCCCTATAATGCTAACACAATGGGTCATAACTCCTTAGAAATTCTTTGAAAAAAACATTTCTTTCAAAATAACAGTTTTACACAGGTCACTGGTACCTTGTTGCAAAATGGATTTGTGTCACTGCTTAATTTGTTTCTCTGAAATATGTAAAGGGTGTAACATGAACAAGATGAAGCATTAAATGGAATAGACTCCACAGGGCCTTAAAATGTATGTATCGTGTGACACATGCCGTAATCTATATCACTAAGGCTTACAGGAAAAATTTAGCTTCAAGTTCTCTTGTGAACCCCCCCCCCCCCCCCCCCCCCCCCCCCCCCCCCCCCCTGACCCCCCCCCCCCAAACCCCCCCCCCCCCCCCCCCCCCCAAGTCACTTTAAAAGAAAATCTCACTAAATGTTAATTTTTGTTAATATTTTCACATCCCTACCTCATAAATGTTTGCTACACAGGCGTGACTGCAGACAGTAGCATTAACTATACATCACGTAAACAGCTCAGTATGGACAAGTTGAAAAAATGACATTTACGGGGAATAGACCCAAACCGGAAGTGTCAGTTTGTGACAGGACTGTCCCAAGACTGTCCCAAATACAACATATAAAGGCAAAACTTTTGGCAAAGAGAAACACTGGTACGAGTCAAACTTTACGTAAAGTTCATACTAGAGACAACATTGCAGATATAATCTATTTCAAGTGAACGAAAGAAGAAGTTTTGTGGCAAGTTTAAAATATGTGTAACTGTGTTGACAATGATCCTATTATGAACAATGGTGCGTAATAGCCCTAGCGTACTAGCCCATGTGCTGAGTGCATTTTGTTGTCGACGACACAGGTTACGGCAAGCTGGCTTGAAAGGTCTGCAAGGTGTTGTAAGGAAGACCATTGGGGATGACCTGCAGGTGAATATATGGGAGGCAGTTCACATGGACAAGATTGTCCCATCTCTTCTGTTCAACATGCAGGAGCAGAGGTAAGTTTTCTGCACTTTAATTTCATAAGGCAAGTTCCAAATGTACTTTCCAGGGATGATTTGTTTTGGGGTGTGGGGGAGATGGAGGGAGTAATAGATCCACCGCTCCTTAGCAGGCTGTTTGTAAACTGTCAAGTTAAGGTTTTGCTAACATCAGATGTGGTAGGCCCTCTCCTATGGGTTCCGGGGCCCTATTATGGGGAAAAAAAGAAAAAACCCACTACCTTCCCAACAAGCTTGTCATAGGAGTAAACTAATTGGGGGATTCCTTCGAAGTCAGAGTATGCCTTTGCCTGAGCAACAAGGAACAACCAGCTGCACACAAATAAGACAGTAAAACGGATGTACACACAAAACTCAGACCCTGGCAGAAAACCAAAGTACAAAAGTCCGAATGAACAAACAACCAGGACTTTACCCTGGAGCTTACAGCTGGTGAACAAGGAAGAAGAAGATGTGCTGTGGTAAAATGCACATAAATCTCATCTAGCTGTAGACCACAACAGAATTTGCCCGCTGCCTTTTTAAAGGTAAATGCTGAAGAAGAAGGAATGGGGTAGGATCGCAGATCTTTTGTTTTGGCATAAGATTCCAGATCTTTTTTTTTTTTTTTTTTTACAAATATAAGAAAGAGACAGTCATATTTATTTGTGTGTGGCTTCGTTGTGAAAAAGAAAAAACTTGAATATTTATCATCTTATTTTTCAATGATCTTTGGTTATGCAATTAGTCCGTTGTGGACGATACAGTGGTATGTCATTTCTCTCTGAGTATTTTAGGTTTCCCTTGGTTGGGAGCCATCTGGTGTGGCAACTAGATGCTCGTCTGCGGATCTGAAGGTTGTGGTTTCAAATCTGCACTGTGCCAGATTTTTTTTTCTTTCTCAAACATGACCTAGGGAGAGAAAGGAGACATAACTAACTCCTCTAGGGAACAATCAATAGGGACTTCTGGTCAAAATGGACGCTAGGCATAGTTCACTGTTTTGAGTCCTGGCACATTTGTTGCTTCTGCCAGACGGTGGCCGCTGCATTTTTGCTTCATTTGTAGACTGAAAGGATATAGTTTTGTCGCCCAGCTACTAAGATGAGTGCTTGGTGTGACACTGTGAGCTGCAGATTTCATTTGGAATGTTTTTCGACTGTGACCAAAATTTTGTTGTGAATTGTAGATTCAAAAAATGGCACGTGGCCGGTGGTCGCAATTTGGTGATGCCTTTATGTGATTCAAATTGATCGCGTGTGCAACTGCTGACCTGTTGGTAACTTCTGCTACCATTGATGATGAACTGCATTTCTAATGTCAGACTGTTTGTTTTAGCACTTCTGATGGCTACGGTATGCTTTTAATGCTAGTGCATATGCTGAGACAGCAGTCTGTTCTTTCCACAAGGGACTGTGTGTTTTTCATTGGCACAGGAGCAAAACAACTATGAGGTGACTCGTTTGCTATGAAGCTGAAACTAAGATTACCAAGATTACCAATCAGTAGAAGTACCTTCAAGTGGCTGCTGTATTGGAGGGCTGAGCACATATGTCAAAGCCCAGGGTGCAGTGGTGTATATTGTCATAAAATAGTATAACCTGTTGATAGCACCACAGGTAATGATCATACTCCAGAAATCACTGTATAGCTGTGAATCATAGAAACAAAATAAAAAGGGTAGAAATCAAATACCACAGAAATATGGTTCCTACATAGAATACAAAGAATGTCATAGAAAGCAAAGAATACCAAGATAAGTAACTCCACAGAACAGATATATTTGAGTTACAATTAGTAACTTTATTGAACAGAAATATTTAACTGTTAGTAACTTCACAAAACAGATCTTTTTCAGTAACAATAAGTAACTTCATAGAACTTATATATTTTAGTAACCATAAGTAACTTCATAGAACAGAGATATTTGAGTAACAATAAGTAATTTCACAGAACATATATATGTTTGAGCAACTATGTGGTGTTTACAAACATGACTTGTGCTAATGATTGCTCAGTGAGCTTGATGACAGTGGGGATGATGACAGTCCGGGGGAAGATGACAATCCAGCACATTTGGCCGAGGCTGTGTTTCGAGATCTTGTGTGTCGAGCCTCATATCGTAACATCATGAATGTTCTGTCTCCAGTTTTAGTGTAAGTCAGTTTTGTCACCTATAATTAAATGTTTTGAACAATGTTGATTCAACTGTAGTTTTTTTTTCATTGCCACTGCTTGTTGGACAGTTTAATATTCTGCAATGAAATGATCACCGCCAGAAATATTTACAAACATGGGCAAGGAAGAAATGAGACAGAGACAGAGTTACAGAGAGAGATGAAGAAACAGAGAGAGAGAAAAAGATAGATAGATGGACAGAAGAGACATACAATTAGAGACAGACAGAGAAAGACCGAGGCAGCAGACAAGAGACAGAAATTGACAAATAAACATAATAGGCAGAAAATAAGGCGGGCGGGGGAGGGGGGGGGGGTGAAAAAGATGTAGAAACAGGCATGGTGAGACAGAGAAAATGAAATACAGTTAGAGAGAGAGAGATGATAAGCTCATAAATACATATGTAACAGGCATCTACAGGGTGTGTTTATGTTAAAATTACAAAAACTCAACTGGAGACATCAGTCTAGACAGGCTAATGGGCTGTAAGACATCAGCAATTTCATTGTGAATACATTAAATGGAAACTGGAAATTGTTTTGAGCAAAGAAAGTAGTTAGGCAGGCTCTGATGGTTGCAAGTATGAAGAATATTACATGGGTTTTCCCATTTTAGCCAGCAATGTACTCAGTGTAAAGTACCAACAAAGGCGCTACACATGAAAAGGTCTGACCTAAGTAAAAGCAAGAGGTTGGTCTAGCAGAAGAGGATTGATGACATTAAAGATCTTCTACGATGACATAGAATCACAGTAGCCATTGATACCCATCAAGCAATGAATCGATAAGTGTTTCTCCCCATGACATTTAATGGTAGAAGTGAAAATTGATGATGAATGAATTCAGGGAACTGAGCATTGATTCTCTGTAAAGGTAAACTGAAGGTATACAAGACATATCTGCTACTGACACCAGGATTTGAAGTCTAAGGCCATCATATATACAAAGCTATGGTGTACTAGGTGGGTTTCTATAGTTCAGGCTGGAGGGAGAACTGTGAAGGAAGATTGTGGTACTTTTGCCTTGACTACGAGTAGTTTGACTATGTAGATCAAAGCTGTTTAACAAGCGGCCCAAGAGCCAAAAGTGGCCTGCAGAGGCCCAGCAAGTGGTCCGCGGATCATTGCCAGTTTCTATTGTATTAATGATCTTTCTATGCTTGTGCTCAGGCCTCTGACCCGTGATGATCCCTAGTTTGAAAATGTGTCCCTGACTAAACTTAGCCGAATAGTCCAAATGTAGATCATGGCAGTAACCTGGCTGGAGACCTTAGGCCTTGCTTTGTCTGTGAGTGTGCACAGGAAGGTAGAGTTGCTGGGCCCAGAGAGAGTGGTTGGTCTTTGAGCCAGTCACTTCTGACAAAGATCAGTTTTATTTTTATGCCAGGGCATGCAGATGTAAAAGGAAATGAACAAGCTAAGCAGTTGACCAGGCTGATGTACTGAATACTTTATGAGAAGAAAGACATTTTCAAAAACCACATAATACCTGTGAATCTGCAGTTATGATCAGACTTTGAGAACAGCAAGTTGAAAGGGGTGAGGCTAGACAAGAGCACTATGCAGGAAGCCAAAACAGATGAATAAACCAAGACAGAACTAGTGAGATCAGTCGTTGAATGTTGTGGGATTTAGTTGGATGGGGATCCAAGCACTTATGGACTGAATGATTTGAGCTGTAACAGGGATGATCTATCTGCTAACTAACATACAAGGTGGGCTGGTCATTTCCCATCCTTCCAAAGTCAGTCTTGAAAATTGCTAGTGCTTTATTTTATTGAGACTGTGTTGACATCAGGGCCATACTGATTTGAAAAAATTAACCCTACTTCAGCTGGGAATTTTTTTTTCTTTGTTGTTGTTGAAAATTGACCTTGGCTCCATGGTTGACTAAACCTAAAACGGGTACCAGACAATGTCTTTGGAAGTAAAGGCAGCCAATGGGATTTGACCACATAATCTACTGAGTGTTAATTTGTGTATGTAAACATGAGTTGAAACAAGGATGTGTCTTGTCACCTATGCTTTTCGGAATAGCACTCGATTGGGTCATGCGCAAATGCACACAGGACACACATCTAGGCATCAAATGGGTCGACAAAGTTCTCGAAGATCTTGACTTTGCTGACGACCTAGCACTCCTGAGCACAACATATCTAGAAGCTCAGGAAAAAATGGACCGCCTCCAGAATATTTCAAGCCAAATCGGCCTTCAGGTCAACGCAGCCAAAACGAAAATCATCGATCTTACCAACAAGTCGAAAGACATCAAACTAAAGGATATTGTTCTTGAAAAAATCACCAGCTTCACATACTTAGGGAGCAAGATAACCTCTGCGGGAGATACAAACATCAGAAATAACGACTCGAATCGCGTTAGCATCAAGTGCCTTTAACAAACTGTCAAACATTTGGAAAGTCAAGATCACTCAGCAACAACACGAACTTAAGGTCTTCAATTCCTGTGTGATCCCAGTGCTAACTTATGGTTGTGAGAGTTGGAAATCATCAGTATCAATCGATAAGAAACTAGTCGCTTTCGAGAATAGATGCCTCCGAAAGCTATTGAATGTTCACTGGTCGGACTTTAGGTCCAATACATCTATAAGACAGGAAACAAAACAAAAATATGTGTCTGATTTTATTATAATGCGTCGCTGGAATTACATCGGTCACATACTCAGAATGGACATACAGAGACTTCCCCACCAAGCCTTCATATGGTCACCAGAGGGTAAAAGAAAACAGGGAAGACCAAAAGAAACTCTCCGTAGAACCATCTGCCTGTAAACCGCAGCATTTCATGCTAGCTTCCCTTTTGAGGGAGAGTGCAGAAAAAGAAAAAGAATAGGAGGACCCATAATGAGTTGGTGAGGATAGCAGTTTTCATCGTCCGGCTGTACAGATCTAGCACATCAAAGTGGTAGATGATAGAACTAAGAATTGGCTGAGATTAGATAAAATCATAGGGTGACAATCTGGATAAAATGCAGCATTGTGCCACAAATTATATTGTGAATCAGAGACTAGATTTAAAAAAAAAATTTGTTTGTTTCATTTTCACAGGAGAAAAAACAGAAGTAGAAAAAAGTGAATGTTGCTATATTTTCCAGTGTATAAGAAGGGCAGCATATGTAATAACAGTGGAATCTCAGCTTGTTTTTAAACTGTTATAATATTGCGCTTTTCAGGGCTCGCCTCATTTTATTGTGTGTATGACACAGAGCATAGTGTGTGAGAGTAGTATATTATTTAGTAGTTTTTCTAATTTCGTGACCCTCAGGGGTAGTAGTTTATTACTAACAGTTTTCAGAAGTCTGTTACATCAATTAAAAACAACCCTCAGCTTTAGAATGCAACCCTCCCTGTGTGCGCTCCAGAGAGTGGGGGGGGGGGGTGTATGTTGACCCACTGTCCTCCACCTGCAACAAGCGTAAGAGACAGAGTTACAGAGAGAGATGAAGAAACAGAGAGAGAGAAAAAGATAGATAGATGGACAGAAGAGACATACAATTAGAGACAGACAGAGAAAGACCGAGGCAGCAGACAAGAGACAGAAATTGACAAATAAACATAATAGGCAGAAAATAAGGCGGGCGGGGGAGGGGGGGGGGGGTGAAAAAGGATGTAGAAACAGGCATGGTGAGACAGAGAAAATGAAATACAGTTAGAGAGAGAGAGATGATAAGCTCATAAATACATATGTAACAGGCATCTACAGGGTGTGTTTATGTTAAAATTACAAAAACTCAACTGGAGACATCAGTCTAGACAGGCTAATGGGCTGTAAGACATCAGCAATTTCATAGTGAATACATTAAATGGAAACTGGAAATTGTTTTGAGCAAAGAAAGTAGTTAGGCAGGCTCTGATGGTTGCAAGTATGAAGAATATTACATGGGTTTTCCCATTTTAGCCAGCAATGTACTCAGTGTAAAGTACCAACATAGGCGCTACACATGAAAAGGTCTGACATAAGTAAAAGCAAGAGGTTGGTCTAGCAGAAAAGGACTGACGACATTAAAGATCTTCTACGATGACATACAATCACAGTAGCCATTGATACCCATCAAGCAATGAATTGCTTAGTGTTTCTTCCCATGACATTTAATGGCAGAAGTGAAAATTGATGATGATGAATGAATTCAGGGAACTGAACATTGATTCTCTGTAAAAGTTAACTAAAGGTTTACAAGACATATCTGTTACTGACACCAGGATTTGAAGTCTAAGGCCATCATATATACAAAGCTATGGTGTACTAGGTGGGTTTCTATAGTTCAGGCTGGAGGGAGAACTGTGAAGGAAGATTGTGGTACTTTTGCCTTGACTACGAGTAGTTTGACTATGTAGATCAAAGCTGTTTAACAAGCGGCCCAAGAGCCAAAAGTGGCCTGCAGAGGCCCAGCAAGTGGTCCGCGGATCATTGCCAGTTTCTATTGTATTAATGATCTTTCTATGCTTGTGCTCAGGCCTCTGACCCGTGATGATCCCTAGTTTGAAAATGTTGTCTCTGACTAAACTTTGCTGAATAGTCCAAATGTAGATCATGGCAGTAACCTGGCTGGAGACCTTAGGCCATGCTTTGTCTGTGAGTGTGCACAGGAAGGTAGAGTTGCTGGGCCCAGAGAGAGTGGTTGGTCTTTGAGCCAGTCACTTCTGACAAAGATCAGTTTTATTTTTATGCCAGGGCATGCAGATGTAAAAGGAAATGAACAAGCTAAGCAGTTGACCAGGCTGATGTACTGAATACTTTATGAGAAGAAAGACATTTTCAAAAACCACATAATACCTGTGAATCTGCAGTGATGATCAGACTTTGAGAACAGCAAGTTGAAAGGGGTGAGGCTAGACAAGAGCACTATGCAGGAAGCAAAAACAGATGAATAAACCAATACAGAACTAGTGAGATCAGTCGTTGAATGTTGTGGGATTTAGTTGGATGGGGATCCAAGCACTTATGGACTGAATGATTTGAGCTGTAACAGGGATGATCTATCTGCTAACTAACATACAAGGTGGGCTGGTCATTTCCCATCCTTCCAAAGTCAGTCTTGAAAATTGCTAGTGCTTTATTTTATTGAGACTGTGTTGACATCAGGGCCATACTGATTTGAAAAAATTAACCCTACTTCAGCTGGGAATTTTTTTTTCTTTGTTGTTGTTGAAAATTGACCTTGGCTCCATGGTTGACTAAACCTAAAACGGGTACCAGACAATGTCTTTGGAAGTAAAGGCAGCCAATGGGATTTGACCACATAATCTACTGAGTGTTAATTTTGTGTATGTAAACATGAGTTGAAACAAGGATGTGTCTTGTCACCTATGCTTTTCGGAATAGCACTCGATTGGGTCATGCGCAAATGCACACAGGACACACATCTAGGCATCAAATGGGTCGACAAAGTTCTCGAAGATCTTGACTTTGCTGACGACCTAGCACTCCTGAGCACAACATATCTAGAAGCTCAGGAAAAAAATGGACCGCCTCCAGAATATTTCAAGCCAAATCGGCCTTCAGGTCAACGCAGCCAAAACGAAAATCATCGATCTTACCAACAAGTCGAAAGACATCAAACTAAAGGATATTGTTCTTGAAAAAATCACCAGCTTCAACATACTTAGGGAGCAAGATAACCTCTGCGGGAGATACAACATCAGAAATAACGACTCGAATCGCGTTAGCATCAAGTGCCTTTAACAAACTGTCAAACATTTGGAAGTCAAGATCACTCAGCAACAACACGAAACTTAAGGTCTTCAATTCCTGTGTGATCCCAGTGCTAACTTATGGTTGTGAGAGTTGGAAATCATCAGTATCAATCGATAAGAAACTAGTCGCTTTCGAGAATAGATGCCTCCGAAAGCTATTGAATGTTCACTGGTCGGACTTTAGGTCCAATACATCTATAAGACAGGAAACAAAACAAAAATATGTGTCTGATTTTATTATAATGCGTCGCTGGAATTACATCGGTCACATACTCAGAATGGACATACAGAGACTTCCCCACCAAGCCTTCATATGGTCACCAGAGGGTAAAAGAAAACAGGGAAGACCAAAAGAAACTCTCCGTAGAACCATCACAAGGGAGAGCTCAACCATAGGTCTCAGTCGCACTCAAGACCTACATCAAGTGGCAACGAACCGACGGACGTGGAAAGCTATGACCTCTGCCCTATGCGCCATCTTTGGCACAAGAGGAATAACTAACTAACTAACTAACTAAACATGAGTTGAGCATCATATGCCCTGTGTGCCACTGGTGTGAGAAAAATCCTGTTTTACTGATTACTTTTATCCATCACTTTACTGGAAGCTCAGCGGGGCCATATCTGTGTATGATACACAATTTATTTTGGGTTTCTTTCCCAAGATTTCTGGGGGAGTAATTTATCAAGGCAGCAGTATATCCATTATTGAAGGATTTTTCATATGTGTGCCATGCATGCAAGATCGTATGTCATAGAGGACATACATTCATCCGTAACAGAAAATCTATATATGATGGATGCGATCAGCATAATAGATATGGTGTAATCTCAATGAGATATTACACAGTGAGGGTTTTCCTATGATTTTTTTTCTGTTTTTATTTGTTGAAAGTTTACTGCACACTGTTGTATTATTACTGTTTTTATATATCACTGTTTTATCACTGTCTTCTTCCTTTATTTATTGTTTACCCTCTCTGCCCTACTTGTCTTTCATACCATCTGCCAGTCACATTCTTCTGTATTCTTTTATATTTCATTTCAAAATAGAGTGTAAGTCCTCGACCAACTCAGTTCTAGCCCTTTATAGACTCATAAATGAGGGACTGGATTTTGGAGCTGAAATTTTCTACAGCATTAGCCACTACTGTGCCATCCTTAATTGCATCTTACGGCACACACAGGGGATTACTAGTATTCTTTGCTTCTATATATCTTGATAACAGAGACCCTTTCACATACCATTAATAATATTTTGGTTTCCATATTTGACTGGAATATATCTTTGATACTCTTTGTTCTTCTAGACTAGGTTCTTTAAATGAATGTTACTTCATTTCGCCATCCTCTTTCACATCCATCTCCCCACCCCCTCCCCCCCCCCCCATCCCCCATAAAGCAGAGTTCAGCCAGCTCACCAAATGTCATCCCCATCTGTTATACATCACTGTCTAATTCCTGTCTCTCTGTGGTTTGGTCTGCCTGTGTTTCTTTAACCTTGTAGATTCCAGGATATTATTATCAGGTTTTCATATTTTATGGTTCTTATCTGATTTCAGACTTCTTTTTTTTCACTTGACGATTCTTTAGAATTTGTGTAGTTTTCTGCAAAAGCACCACATTAATAATTCTGACATAGCATTTGATTCTCTTTATTGTTGCCCAGGTTAATAAAAATACTACTTTATTGGTGGCAGTTCTCATCTACTTTTTCTTCAGCATTCCGAGCCGAGGTTCATTCACCAGCCTCCATTGTATCTCTGTATTTGGCTTTCTTTTTTCAGTTGAGGACACCAAGTGTTTGTAGGTCTGTCTTGATATTATCTGTCCATCATTTTCTTGGTCTGCCTCATGGTCTACGGCCGTTCAGCTCCCTTGTCTATAGTTTTTATCTCTCTGTCATCTAAAATTCTCAGCAATCTGAATCTATTAGCCCTCATGATGCCAGTGATCAGTGGTGATTTAAATAGATTATTAATTTCTTTGTTGCTTTTCCCTCTCCATTCCTCACTGTTAGCATCTTTAATGGGTCCAAAGATTTGTCCTAAGACTGTTTTCTTTTAATTTTTTTTATTTGTAATAAAGCTTCATCTCTTTTAGTTGTGTTCCAAGTTCCCATCTGTCTCTAATAAATCTTCTGCTTCCTGTAATGTGTTTTTGTATATCATTGCTAACATTTTAGACATTTGTAAATGAGGTACGTTAATGCAATGTTAGGTTCACTTCCATTTTTGGGCTAATTTAAAAATACAATTTAAAAAAAAAAATTACAAGTCACTTCCTGTTCTATCCTGGGTTAGCATATTTGATATGTATAGTGTCTATAATTGTTTCAGATTGTTTTTTCTAATCTCCCATTGTAACTATGATATAGAGATGGCATATTTTAACATTTTCAATAAATGAAGTGAAATGCCTTAATGTTAATTCCTTTTCAGTTTTGTTTTCTTTGATTTACATTGGGTCATTGCTTTAAATTTTTACTTTCTTTACATTTGATTTCAGCCATTTAGACAATCATAATCTATGGGTACCAAATGACTTTGCTGTCAGAGTGTTCAAAATCATCATGTTTTCTGTCCAGGTATTGCCTTGTCTGTGTTTGTTTTGTTTCCATTAAAATGTATCTAGTCTGATTGGCCGAATGGTTAAGAATGCTGGGTTGTCATGCAGGATGCCCAGTTTCAAATCCTTGTTAGGCTTATGAGTATTTATGGGATTTTTCTTTCAAAGGCAAAAATAAACTTCTAACCTGCAAAGTCCATGGTGACTGCAGTATTCTTGCGGTCCTAAATTCTCAGGCTCCTGCCTTCACTGTGGAATTAGTAAATAGAGGCAGTAATGGCAGTTTCATGTGTGAGATGCACTTAATGATACTTTTCATCTTGGCATTCACCGCTGTAGACTGCAGCTGAAAGTTCTGGTTGTTCATCCACTTCTGGAGTTTTGCATGCACATCATTTTTAGATCTGACTTATTTGTATGCACACTGGTGGTTCTTTGCCTCAGGAAGAGCACTCTAACTTTGAAGGAAATACCTAAAATTCGCAGAACCCCAGAACCCACACTGGGAACTAATGATACATTATAATGTTTGTAAAAGCAGCATATTAGATGTGTCTCCTGATCATTTTCTTTTTAGTTTCAACTGTATATGGCTGTAGTGCATGCCTACAGGCCAGGTTTTTAGGGATTTTAATTTGCCTCGACTGCGGATTTTAAAAATTGACATAGGCTGCCATGTTGATAAAAAAGAATGACCTGGAAAGTCAAAGTATTTGATGTGATGCCAACCACATCACCTGATGAGCGTCTTGTTTCTCCTTCTCATAACATGCCAAAGAATGTAGATTGTCTTCTTCTGATGTCGGCAATCATTCCTCTTTATGGGTCACTTTCCTTCATGGCATCTTCATGTTTTTTTTTTTTTTTAATTTATCCATGGTGTTCTCACGATTTGTCTATAAAACCACATCTACATTGCTTCCACTTGTTGTCACTAATATTTCATTGTCCATGATTCACTTTTTTATATCAGGATAGGATTTTTTTCAACTCTTGAGAAGTCTCTTTCTCACTATAATTGACAAAAAAGATGTTGTAGACTAATTTTAATTATTTTTTTCAATTCTTTTCTACCTTGAGCTATTCCCACTTTAACATAAAATGGTTAGAAGAATAGAAATTGTAATCAATCAGTCAGGTGGCTGTCTCCGCATTGAAGGTTGGCTGCAAAAAATCTCCAACTCACACTGCTTCTTGTCTTGGTTATACATTCTCTGTGTTTTGTTTATCTCTTGATGTTGTCCTCCCACTTGTATTGTTGTCTACCTCTTGCTTTCTTTCGTTCAACTTTTTAACTCCAGTTTTTTTTAAAAGAGTGTTGTCTTTTAATGTGACCAAAATATTTTAATTGTCTGTTTTCTTTCACCAGCTCTCATTTCACTCCTAGTTTCTTCAGAATCTCTATATTTGATTGTTTTTGTTCCATAAAAAAAAGCCTCTATTTCTATGTCTGCATCTCACGGAATTCAGTTTGATTTTATTTAAGCTTTTTCATTGTCTGTATGTCTGGACTATACAGCAGGATGAATATTGATGTGATGTTTCTAATTTTTCATGTATTGTGTATCTCTCTAGCTGTCAATAATTTTTGCTTAATTAAGATAGTTTTAGACATTCCTATTATCTTTTTTTTTATTTCTGTTTTACTTCTGCCAACTTCTGTTATTACATGTCCCAGACAGGGAAACTTTTTGGTTTATCATAGAAAACTATCTAACCTGAGCCCTGAAATAGAGTTTTTTTATCTAATCAAGAAACCAGATATTCTTTTTGTGTGTGAAGGAAAATTCATAACAAAAATGTTCAGAGACTCGATATTCCCTGTCTATGGTTCCCTGTGTGGGTCTATGGTTCCCTGTGTGGGTCTATGGTTCCCTGTGTGGGTCTATGGTTCCCTGTGTGGGTCTATGGTTCCCTGTGTGGGTCTATGGTTCCATTTTGGGAGAGAAGAAAACAAGAATAGATGACCCACTGCCCCTGAACAAAGGTGTTATAAATTGCAAGTAATGAAAGTGTTTCTTAAATTAGATATGTGGGGCCAGAAAGCGCAGATATTGCAGCCTGCCTGTAAACCGCAGCATTTCATGCTAGCTTCCCTTTTGAGGGCAAGTGCAGAAAAAGAAAAAGAATAGGAGGACCCATAATGAGTTGGTGAGGTTAGCAGTTTTCATCGTCTGGCTGTACAGATCTAGCACATCAAAGTGGTAGATGATAGAACTAAGGATTGGCTGAGATTAGACAAAATCATAGGGTGACAATCTGGATAAAATGCAACATGGTGCAGCATTGTGCCACAAATTATATTGTGAATTAGAGACTAGATAAAAAAAAAAATTTTTGTTTTGTTTTCACAGGAGAAAAAAACAGAAGTATAAAAAAGTGAATGTTGCTATATTTTCCAGTGTATAAGAAGGGCAGCATATGTAATAACAGTGGAATCTCAGCTTGTTTTTAAACTGTTTATTGCGCTTTTCAGGGTTTGCCTCATTTTATTGTGTGTATAACACAGAGCATAGTGTGTGAGAGTAGTATATAATTTAGTAGTTTTTCTAATTTCGTGACCCTCAGGGGTAGTAGTTTATTACTAACAATTTTCAGAAATCTGTTACATCAGTTAAAAACAACCCTCAGCTTTAGAATGCAACCCTCTTATGTGCGCTCCAGAAAGTGGGGAGAGGGGGGGTGCATGTTGACCCACTGCCCTCCCCCTGCAACAAGCGTAAGAGCCAGCTTATTAGAGGTTTTTCCTTTGAGGTCAGAGTGCATCTGCCTGAGATGAGAAACCAACAGTTTTCATACAAGTACACGCAAAATTCAAGTCCTGTGACAAGACTAAGTCCAGAATTGGAAGAACAACCATAATTTTCTGGTCAAATATAGCTGTAGCAGTGTAAGAAAAACATATCAGCATCGAGAGAGATAGACACATACACATTTTTAGAATTGCCTATAGTTATATATTTATTTGATGCTACATCATGTTGCAAAAACTGGAACGATGAACATGCAATTAGAAAGATTAATTGAGGCATGCAATTATAAAGATTAATTGAGGCCTTTAGATGTAGATATACAGAAGTATATGTTGATTTCATTTTTTTTAAAAAACAATTAATTACACTCATTCTACAGAAACCGGGAATGAAGAAAGAAAGAATTGATGGAAGAAATTTAAAAAAGAAACATGAATTTTCTTTATCTCATGAAAAGATTAAGTATTCTTATGAAACAAAACTATGGAAAATTGAATTCCGATAAACAAAGGTAGACAGCAGTGCAGGTGAGAAGATAAAATAATAGGATGGATGAAAAGCAGTCTTTCAGTGTTTGATTAATTAATGTGTATGTAAACATGTATGGAACTGAAACAAATGGAGGAAAATGTTAAACATAAAATAGGAATAATTCAAGAGGGGTGAATAAATAAGAGAAACATCTAGGCAGCCACTGGTAACAACAGTTGTAAGACAAAGAAGTTGGTGCTTGCTATAATTGACACATCCTGAGAATAAACGAGCAAAGAATCACCAGAGACAGGCACTGAAATGGGAGAGGGGCTCAGTGGTCGTGAGCTATGGTGTCCGCCTTGAGTTCAGGAGGTCCCGGATTCAAGCCGTTGTTAAAGCTAAGAATTTTTTTTCACGTGGGCTTCTAGTATTTCTCCTGGTCTCTGTGTAGTAAGACTGGACGCCTGTGTGTATTCTTAATCGAAAAGAGTAGCCTAACAGCGCTGCTCAGGCCAAATTTCAAATTAAAAATCTACCCAAAGTATTTCAGGATCCTTGCCGGTGCAATGGAGTTTGTGCACTGCGCTGAGATTCTTTAGACTCAGACTTGATTTAAAAGTAGAGCAGAGCACTTATGTGCCATGATGTTGATCTGATGAATAAACATAAAGAAACAAAGACTGAAATGGGAAATAAATGGATTGAGGGAGCGAAGTTGCCCAGAAAATACTCTAAAATGAATGTTGATGAGAGAGGCCAAAAGTGCTGGACTGAATTTCATCCATGAATTTGAACTGGTAGCTCAGGACAGACCAGAAATGAGTAATGGACTGCAAGCCCCATGTGACATCTATTGTCACAATAGAACAATCAATGAATGAAATATAAGCATATGCTGATTAGCTCTCCCCCCCCCCTCCCCCCCCATTCAAGTCAAGATACTCATCTTATATGAGGTCTTGTCAGAGATGACGAGAATAGAAAAACTATTGGATTAATACCCATAAATAATTTTATTGGTTTAGAGGGAAAAAAAACCGACTGGAATAGTTTGGCTCAGTGAGAATTAAACCATTGAGAACTTACATATGTGAAAATAGAAACACCACAAGGCAGAGCGAGACCTAGATGTCAGTGGAATAAAGGAGTCACTGACAGCCTGAAACTTCATTGAATTAAGGATGGCAAGCACTGAATGCCCTCCAGCTCAGCTATCGCCTGTTAAACTGTAATGCCTATTTGCAGAATGCAGATACTGGAAGCAGAAGAAAAAGCAAAAAAAAATCAATTGTTGAGATTCTAGTTTTCTGTACAAGGAAGTTCACAAAGCCTTGCTGATTATGATAATGACATGAAAATTGTATAGATTCTTTGGCTGAGCATTATTGCTGTCAGGATTCTGTTGTATGGTTGCAATTGATTGTTAGCCAGTTGTTAGATGACTGACTAATTTTATTGCACATCAGGCACCAGAATGTAGCATGCACCAGCAAAAAAATCATTTTATTTATACACCTTAAAAGCTGTACAAAATCACATTTCAATTTGCAGCATACAGAATCTATGGGCCCATATAAACTTGTATATTGATTATGATCACATAAGATCATCCAGCCAGATATATATTTCTGCAGCCTTTACCTAGCCTCTAGTAGCGTGACTTTTAACATATAGTGACGATAAAAATTTTTGAATTTTGAATTAAGAATCAACATCACAGCACTCTGGGCACTCCCATAAGCGCTCCGTCCCTATTTTCAGCAGCAAGCGATGAGTTCCAATTCGGATGGCACCAGTAGCCGTCTGATTGTATGTCTGTCTCCTCCTTCCCCTGAGTGTTGAGCGTCGGCCACCTCACCTGGTAACTCCTTGCAGCGCTATTCTCCTCAGACCGTAATGATCTATCTGCCCATCCGCACCCTTCACTTGTTCCCAAAGAGCCCACACAACATCTAGCTTGTCATACATCAGTTTACTACCAAGTGGTGCAGAGCTGGCCAGTCTATCCGCCTGCTCATTTCCCAACACATGACCTGGAGAAAATATCCAAAGGATGCTAACTACCCAGGACCTCTGAAGAAATGCTTGCCACTTTGCATGTATTAATGATGAATTAAGAATTAACATCACTGCACTCTAGATATGGACATCGTCACACATGTTCCTAAAGCTGTCTCAGAAGGCAACAACAAAGTTCCCATGATGATGATGATACTTTCAACCTGTGATTTTTTGTGTTAAATGAATATTCTTATTCTTTTGTCCTACTGCATATACAGTAACACATCATAGAAAGGACTTAGGTGCAGGTCCCTGTCTTTTGCTAACTGTGTAGTTTGTGTTAATGTTGTACTGCATTTTAATTTTTTTTTCTGGGACTTTCCATTCTGGCATATATTTTTTGTATATGAGATTGAATAAATACAAAAATGATGAAGAAATCATAGTAATTTCTGGACAACTACTGAAATTACCAGACATGAAATGAGAAAAGTGGTGATGTGCTGGTTATATTCTGAGACAAAGCAGACAAAGTATCACAAAACAAGCACTGAAACGGGAAACGAATGGATCAAGGAAACCCCACTATTTAGGCATGGAAACGGGAAACTATTGGATTGAGGAAGTGATGACATGCAAGAGAAATTCTATAAAACATTAATGAGGGAGGCTAGAAATAATGGACTAGATTTCACGCATAATATAAAACACATTGCAATGGATAGGATGGAATAGAGGTATCGATTGCGATCCCTGTGTGATGTTAGCCGCACAACAGAATACTTAATAATGAATGAAGATACTGCCATTACAATGGGAGTCCAGAGAATCAAGTCCTTGTGTAACCCCATTAATTAATTATTGCTCAGAGAGCTCATGGTTACACTCATTCCCTTCTTCTTCTTCTCTTCCACCTTGTACCTCATCGAAGTGTCGGGGGGAGATGTAATGTTCGTTGATGAGCTCTGTCAAGAGCACTATTAAGACTGATGTTCATTTCTGTAAGGCTGTTCTTAATGTCATCACTCCATATTTTCCGAGGTCTTCCACTCGCTCTGTACCCGTTGTAACGTTTTAGTGTGGCTCGCTGTGGCAGATAGTACCAGGGCATTATTGTTAGGTGTCCAAACCACTTCATTTGTTGTTCTTTGATGACCTGTAAGACTGGCTTTACTCCTAGCATTCATCTGATTTCATGATTTTATATTCTGTCTTTCCTTGAAACTCCTGCAGCTCTTCTAAGACATTTCATCTCTGTTGTCACAATTTTACGTTCATTGGAGGATGTAAGTGTCCACGTTTGGCATTGATAGCATAGTGTTGGCCAAAAAATTGTTTTGAAAAGATTCACTTAAGTACTCCGAGGTATCTCATTCCCTAACATGCAAAATAAAATTGTATACTTTTGCTCGGCATAATTGTTTGACTTTATTCTCTGAAGAACTGATAACAATTCAAGTATTATACCTTGATGTTGTACCCAAATATTCCACCTTTAGTCCAACAGATCAAAACAGTACTTTATTTTTAACTCATCCCAAACAAAGGAAATCTCAGTTTCCTGGAATGTCCAGTATTCTAGGGGTATTATAGGTTAAGGTTAGTGTAAGGGTTGGTTGGTGACTCTTTGTAGGTTGGGGCTGAGATCCTAACCTTAACCCCAAATTATAACACCCCTAAAATTTGTTTGGTGTGAATTAAAAATAAAGTACCACCAAAACTGTATCTCTTGACAGTCACCAACGAGATAATGTTTACACAGAGCTACCTGAAAGTTTGCATTAGGCATCTAACAGAACTTTTTTGCAGTGCTATGACCATAACAGTTTCACTATGCCAAAGTCACCCAAGTGCATATTAAGGGCTGTGTACTTGTTAATTGCTTCTCCAGACAGGCTGAAGTGAAGTATTATTTTTTTTTTAAATCTGTTTCTTTATCACTGAGGCTTATGGGACACTCTGACGTCTATTAGGTTTTTACGTTTTTTCAAAGCCATTTGGCTCAAAAGACAACCGCCGTAAATGCTATTTTAGTTGATCTATTCATATCCTGACCTCTTATATGTTTGCTGAGGTGCCAAAACATCCAGTAGCATTAACATTACGTCTCGTACACAGGTCACTATAGACAAGTCAGAAAAGTGACATTTACAGGGAATTGGACCCAGCCAAAAGTGCCGGTTTCGGCCTCTAGGAGTGAAAGTGTTGAAAACACGATTGAGGGCATTATGGATAGATTGGCTGTGAAACAGATAAAGCGAAAAGAGCATGTTTGTAAAAATTAGTGGGAGTTGACTGCTTTGTTTCTGCGTGATTCAGTGAAACAAACAATATGGGTGAATAACTACATAAACTTGAATCCACAGAGTCAGCATGCATATGTAGCTGTACTGAAATTATTGGACCATTTAGATGCTCACACAAAGGCCGATCCTCGAATTAAGACCTGTATTGTCTCTGTTCTGTATGAAGTTATACTTATATCAGCTGGGAACTCCACAGGTAAAAACCTGTCATTTATTTTGTGTGTTTATTATCAGGTGTTTATGGGTTTTTTTAACTGTTTATGTTGATTTCACGGCATCCATTTCAATTTCTGAAATAATGATGATAATGAGAAAGCTATATGATGAGTTAAGAACTGACTTTACAGGACTTAGGACATTCCCATAAGCATTTCATCCCCATATTGAGCAGCCAGCGCAGAGTTCTAATTCTGGTGGTACCAGCAGCAGTCTGATTGTATGTCGGCCTCACCTTTTCTCTGAGTGTTGAGTTTCTGCAAGATTCTATGCAATCTCCCCGCTGCACAATTATGCCCATAATGCTTCTGCATTGTTCACTTATTCCCAAAAGACATTGGCCACATCTTTCTTGTCAAACATTAAACTATCTGATGCAGAACCACTCTGTCTATCTGTTAATTTCCCAGTACACTAGCAATCCCTGGAGGAAAAATCCCAAGGACGCTAACTACTCGTGACCACAAAGCTCTGCAGTGAGAAAGCTGTAAAAGGTAGATAGTAAATATAAGTCAGTAAAAAAGGACAATTTTCAGTATAACTGGTTTATATAGTTGAAAGGGGTTTGGGGAGTTAACTCTTTTTTGATTCTTGTCTTGATTGTGGCTCTTTAAGTCCCTGGCTGTTAATATTGAAGGCTAGTCCTGTTTGGGGAATATTTAAACACATACAACATCCATACACACATGCACACACACGCACGCACATGTCACACACACACACACACACACCATGCATGCATCCAATCATCCACATACACACAAATACTCATACAAAGTTGTAAAACAAGACAAAAAAAGCACCTAGAATACTAGTTTGAACAAAAACTGAGATTTAGATATAATAATTACACAAAGTTGTTATCATTCACCTTGTGCTGTGAAGGTTGTTGATTCACTTTGGAGATCCCAGGGTTGTTGCTGAAACTGTGGAGTCTGTGCTTTGTGCAATGTTATCGCAGGCATACATCATAGAGGGAAACTGAGCCAGATGGGATAAAATCTAGTGCAATTAAGTCAGTCCTCAACTTTAAAAACATTTTGTCCGAATCTAGACTGAATCATTTCAGTCATGAAATTATGTCTTATGCATGTCTTGTACGTTAGTTGCTTGGTGTTTCTATCATGTTTCTCTTTACTCACAGGCCCATCAGTATTGGAAGTGTTTAACAAACTTCTGCGGCATTTGAGAATATCTATAGACAAAAAAAGTACCGACGAGAACCAGCGGCAGGAAGAAATTAAGTTTGAGGAAGCAGTAGTTAACACCATTGGTAAGACTTTCTACAAACTTTGTTTCTGACAGTTCACAAAATCTTTTCTCTAGCTCCAGCTGAGTTTGTATAAAGCCAGGTAGCCACACAAACATCACTGTACCAGGTGCCTAATTCAATATAGAAAGTGTCTGTTCATTATAGAAGCATTCTCTAGAACCGACAATTATTGACAGCACTTGCATCCTTGAGTAGTAACAAATGTTGTTCTTCAAAAATATAATGCTGATTTTCGTACATAAGAAAAGATTTAAAACTGAACGCAAAGTAGACCAGTGAGCTTCACAGTGGAAACAAATGCAAAGTGGACATTGCGGTTACAGAGCCTTCAACAGCACATGACATAAATCAAACAAAACGAAACGAAATCACAAAAATCACCTAACTGACGTATTCCTGATTACAGACACAGTAATGTCTGCCCAGTGAAATGAAAAGACACATGTGACCTAAGAATAAATAGCCTGAGAATGCCAAGGGCTGTGACTCAAGGATTTTGAGTAAAACTGTGTTGACAGTTCAGTCCCATAGGTGTTTGTGTACCTAAGGTAAAAATAAAGCAGTTCTCCCAACCACTCTTGGAGGCTAGAGGTCTAATAAAGAGACATGGTTGAATGCTGCAGTTTTTGCCTACGATTTTTACAAAGGTTTTCAGACAAAACAAGAGACTTGTGTGGCAGCGGTGGACCTGGAAGATGCGTACAATAAAGTGCCGTATGAGTATCTAATGCACCTACTTCTCAGATTGGAAGTAAATCCCGTTCTGGATTGCTGCTGCCCTGCTCCAGAGAAAGATAGTGCTCAGGTGTTGTAGTTAATTCTCAGAACCGAAAATGATTTGTCCAGGCTTGCCACAGGGTTCACCACTGTCACCAGTTTTGTTCAATGTGTATATCGTAATGATCAATGAGCAGCAACTGGTAGAAAGGGAAGGACGTTGTCATTCGCTGATAATATTTTGATGTTTCAGCTCCGAAGAGAGACAGGAGATCGCCAACGATCTCAGCAGAATGTCCTCCTGGTGTGTTGATTCCAATGCTTACGTCAGTCCTTCAAAGGCATCAGTAACTGGTTCTCTCTGAACAATCACATTGTCAAGATAGACTCACCAGAAGTAAAAATAGGTGATGACGTTTTGATTAGAACCAATGTGATGAGATACCTGGGGGTGCAATTTGATCGTAGCTTGTCTTTCAAGAAACAAAAGAAGAGGTCTGTCGGCAATGAGGGTCATTGCAGCTTCCAGTATTGAGCTAAGATTACTAGTACTTCTTTTCTATGGGCTGGTACTTTCTCCCACTGAGTATGCTATGGCCATCCTCACTGTCACCTCTACAAAGATTGAAAGACTTGGTTTCCACAGTGGTACCAAGAGCTGAACGTTCAAAAAGCAGTTTCAAACTACTGAATGTAAAAATTTGCCTAGAAAAACCACAACGGCCAAAAAATGATGGGATTGGTTCTGCAACGTCCTGTAAAGGATACGCAACTAACTTTACCTTATCAGCGGGTTGGAAAATTATGGTAGCTGATTTTATATTCTCCTTACAGGTGAGTTTGCCAACAATCTACCAGACTATCAGAAAATAGAGGTGATGATGTTCATTCTAGGCAAGTTCCCCCATTTCACAACAGATGATGAGATTGGGTAAGGGATTCTTTCATGGTGTATAATGGTTATTTTAAAATACATCATATTAAGGGACAGCTTCATTTTTGGGGGTCAAGGGCCCCATTTAAGGGTGGAGAATAGACTAACTGCCCCCTGACAAGCATGTTTTAAAAGATAGCCAATTAGGAGTTTGCTGAAATTGAATTTGTTGGACTGGGAATTGCAGATATTGCAGCCTAGCTGTAAACCACAACACAGCATGCCATCTGCCTTGAAGGTGAATGCAGAAGAAAAATAATAAGAACCAACTATATTGGCGGCATTGATAATATTTTATTTGCTATGACGACACATGCTGACTTTGTTTCCCATGTCCCTCTTGTAATATTATTATGTTTGTATATGGATCCATTTCTGTTTTTTGTGTGTTTTGTCTTTGTGTGAATGTTTCTTTGGTGTCTTAAATTTTAAAGCTTACATGTACACGTAAGACATCAGCAACAGATCAAGCAGATATCACACTAGAGACAAAAAGTATCAAAGTAACAGATTTGTTTACATAATTATGTAGCCATTTTGTTTGTCAGAGAAACTAAAGGGAACAGCAGCTTTTGAACACCTGAACAAACTGTGCAGCTCTAAATTTTATGATTTTTAAAACCAAGTTACATATCCTCAGTTCTAATGTTATTTCAGTTTTAACAAATGCCATTAAAGTTGGAGGCATCCAAAAGAAACCCTAGAATGAGCACTGACAAGAGATGCCAAATGTGCTGTACTGGAGACCATCCATGTTATCGAATGGATTTGCGAAGGATAGAAAATAATTATTTATTTATTAGCACTATGGTCCCAAAAAGGCTAAATGTAGTCACTCTGGTTATGACTTAGCCCTATAAATGTACACACAACGCCATTTCTGCAGAGACCTGTGCTCAGAAAGCATAGCATTAGTTCCTGTGTGCACCTCCTTAGTGTTTGAGAACCCCAAATGTAAGTTTATTTATAAAATATAGCAAAGGTTGACTTGAGAATTTTCCCATAAACCCCAGTAATCATGCGGTCACGGCATGAGTCTCCTGATAAATATTTGTTTTAGGCCCTGGGGAATGCTTTCCACTTAATGCTTCACTCTTTTCTTGTTTATTTTTTACCTCTTTAAATATCTTTACCTATTTTGAAACCAAAATTGAAAAGAAAAATATAGAAAGAAATGTATACAATTTATTAGTAAACTGTAAATATTGTATTTAAACAAAAATTATTTTAAAAAATTTGTTTTTGTTTTTTAAATTACACGAGTTCCTGACACCCCCTTCCTCACCTCCCTCATTTTTTTTTCTTTTTAAGCATTAGTAAAAGGGTTAATATCATGTATTCTTCATGGCCATTCATGAAGTGGTTTATAAACAAAATTGTTTAATTACTGTCAGCTGTCTAATGAGTTGTTTTCCATTTCTGAAATAATTTCCTTAGATTGATTTATGTCCAGTAGACTAATCAAAATATTGCATGTATCCTCCACAGAAAATTGGACAAACAGTTGGCAGTAAATTTATTGAAGACATTGCTCAAGGTAAATAGAAGTAAGGGATACAACAGTTTGGAAAGGGGGAGGGAGCACAAAGTAAATAAGTCATGTGATTTTAGCCCTATATTTTAAGACCAATTAATATTTTATTGATGATGTGGTCAGTATCATACTATCATCTTTGTTGTTGTTTTTTAATGGTAAAACACCCTTTACACATCATTGTTGTATCAGATATATGTTGTTAGAGCCATATTTTTTATAGACCAGTGACTGTTTTTTTCACATGGACTTCTAATAATTTCCCCTGGTCTCTGGTTAATAAGGTCGGACATCTGTGTGTATTGAGAGACCAGAGAGAGGAAAAATCAGGTCATAAGAGAAAATGTTGGCCCTGAACCAGTTTTAAATTACATACAAAGACAGCGTATCAAATGGTTTGCCCACTTACAGAGAAAGCCTTGTGATGCCCTACCATAAAAGGCATACACCAAAAGAGGACGTAGAGCACAAGGTAGATCAAGATGGAAAGAAAACACCAGAGAAACTCTGCAACAGCACAGTATGTCTTTGGTCAAAATGGTCAGAAGAGCAAGAAGCAGAACCGAACCTTATATCCTTTCAACACCTGACACTGTAAAAGAGTAAGTGAAGAAGGAGGAGAATCTGGGAGTCCAGATGACTGAAAAGGATGGGGAGGTAGATTCCCATCTTGAGGGAATTTTAGCATTTGACAGCTATATCGAAGCTTCTGTTATGTCTGTTGCTGTAATTGAACATTCCTCATCATCATTCCGTAACACTACGTGTCGTTGGGTCACTAGTTTCTGTTGTCTGATCAGCTCTCTCCACCTTTGGCGCTCAGTTGCGATGGACTATTGCATGCCTGAGGCCTGTCCAGTCAGTCAGGTTCTGTAACCAGGTTTTTCTTGGTCTTCCTCTTCTCCTCTTTTCCTCTACTGAGCCCTGCAGTATTGTTTTTTGAGAGGCTGTTAGATCTTATAACATGTTCATACCAATGCATTTTCCACCTTTTCACTGTAGTTAAAAGAGATTCTTAGTTGCCAATATGCTAATATTAATAAGTAAAAATTATAAATAGTAAGCAGAGTAAAGGACCCTTTTTACACCCAATTTCGTCCTTTTTAGGATGAAATTTTTTGTCATTTGAAGCCCTACTCTGGCTTTTGCCAGGGGCCGCAATATAGGCAGGCCATATATATGGCCAAATGTCTGAACGCGGGTTCTGGGACCTCTCCACGGCGATCCTCATCCACATGGTGGCACTTTGTGTCATCGGGTGTTTATCGCTTGTGTGATGTCCTGGTGTGGTAGAAATTCAGTTCAGTTCAGATACTCCTTGGACATATGATGCTAGACTCCTGTGTTAATAGTCCACTCAACACTCGATGGGTATTGTGGTCAATATCTCTCCCGCTGCCTTTACTTCCAAGGATATAACCTGGTACCCATTCAAGGCTAGGTTGATCTGGGAGCTGAAGTAAGCTTTGAAAAACAATCCTACTCTTTTTGATTTTGAACCCAGTACTTTTGGGCCAGCAACCGAGTATTTAGCTGGTAAGGGATCACATCTCCACATTACTTTGTGATAACCTGTATATGTGATACCTGTACAGGCATGTATTAGGACAGCAAGTACACCTGCGGCCCGTAGAAGTGAAATGTTGTTATTAAATGACTCCAGTTAGTTGTCATGTATTACCCTCATGACGGCAAAATTTGACCAATATGGCCTTTAGGGGACCCTTAGTTTGACATGCCTGCTGTGTATATTCTTAATTTCTTAACCAGATGACTGTTTCCTGTGACCTTCTCCCAGGTTGCCACCAAATATAAAACTGTGAGCCTTTCACAAGCATTTCCTCCAGAGTTTCTACATCCATTGTTGCGTATCTCCTGCATCGATGATCCAGGCATGCGCACCATTGTGCAGAAGATTCTGCACACACTGCTAGATCGAAATGGGAATGCAAGCAAGCTGCAAAATATTACGTAAGATTGTTTATGTGTATTTTAAAACATTAATATTTACTAAGTCTCTATCATAGTAAATCTAATACAAACTATTGGGGGGGGGGGGGGGGGGCAGCTTTATGCCACCAGTTTCTACTTCTTTGTGTTCACCAGCTGGAAAGTTCTGGTTGTTCGTCCACTTCTAGACTGCAGTCCTTTCCAGAACCTGAGTGTTACGTGTGCATCCATTTGACAGATCTGGCACATTTGTCTGCAGACTGTTGGTTCCTTGCGTCTCAGGCAGATGCACTATGACTTCAAAGGAAGCTTTCAGTTAGTCAACTCTTACGACATGCTTTTGGGTAGGCAGTGGGTCTATTCTTGTTTTCCCTATAATAAGGCCCCAGAAGCGACAGGGGGGCCACCAGTGTCACACATAGACTGGTATTATAACAAGCGCAAAATGATAGCATGAGAGGTGAGAATGTCTTAGAAGAGCTGCCAGAGTAACAACAAGAGTGAAAACATTTTTTTTTAATTGTAAGAGATTAGAAGACTTGGACTAAAATCAGTCATACTATTAAATAAAGAGCATCAGAAAGGATGGTTCAGCCATGTGATAAGAATGTCCTGTTATCAACTGAAGAGAAGAAGATTTTAACAGTAAAGGAAGTCTGCCTAAAGTACAATAACTTGTGTATGAAGGGTTAGATTTGGTCAATCATGTGTCATCTCCACAATGGAGGTTAGCTTCACTGGATCTCAGACACCATGACACGTGCCCTATTTGTACCCCGAGTGTCAGACTGCTGTAGATCCATCTCATGAGGTTATCTTCCCAGTTGTGGGGCTGTCTACAGTTTGCTTAGCTGCCTTAAATTTTTGTCTTCCATACAGAATTTATAAGAGTCCCATTTTTTTAACCATCCGTTTATTTCTTTCATCAGCTTCCTTTTAATTTCAAGCTACTATAGAACCTCTGTATTTTATTCATTTTCTTTGGAGTTTGCCATGAGTTAAAAGGGAAAAGAGCCACAGAGACAAATAAAGAAGTTGGCATTATGTCATTGGCGAACATGTGTATCAGAAATTATTGACAGTACATGTGATAATGGATGTCGACAGGCACGATTACCGATGTCACATGGCATTGGCTATAGGCAGTTCTTGTTTTCCATTGTTTTTACAGTGACAAGAACATAAACATAAACAATGGTTCATGTTTATGTTTTTAATTTGTTGTCACATTTCATATCCATTTGCTTACGTTCATTTCATACTTTTCAGACTTATGGGGATTCAGTGATGACTTGTTTTTATGAAATCTAATGCTACACTTCAAGTCTGGCAATAACCACATACTTTGTTTTGTTATGAACATGATTTATTATAACTTATGAGTAAAACTGGGCTGGAGCCATATGGATTGACTGATTTCTTGTAACCATGATTTCTTATAATTAGTGTAGAAACTTGACAGCCATACAGATTGGCTTTGATTTCTCATGTCTGTATTTTATTTTTATTTTAAATAACTTACAAGGAAACTGGGAGCCCTGTAGATTTACTTGATTTCTTATTACCATGATTTCTGTATTATATGGACCACATAACTCATGAAGTGTCAATTGGTTTATTAGACGACCACATAGCTCATGAAGTGTCCATTGGTCTATTACACTACCACATAACTCATAAACTGCCAATTGGTCTATTAGACGACCATATAACTCATAAAGTGTCCATTGGTCTATTTGACGACCACATAACTCATGAAGAGTCAATTGGTCTATTAGACGACCACATAACTCATGCAGTGTCAATTGGTCTATTAGACGACCACATAACTCATGCAGTGTCAATTGGTCTATTAGACGACCACATAACTCATGCAGTGTCAATTGGTCTATTAGACGACCACATAACTCATGCAGTGTCAATTGGTCTATTAGACGACCACATAACTCATGCAGTGTCAATTGGTCTATTAGACGACCACATAACTCATGCAGTGTCAATTGGTCTATTAGACGACCACATAACTCATGCAGTGTTAATTGGTCTATTAGACGACCACATAACCCATGCAGTGTCAATTGGTCTATTAGACGACCACATAACTCATGCAGTGTCAATTGGTCTATTAGACGACCACATAACTCATGCAGTGTCAATTTGTCTATTAGACGACCACATAACTCATGCAGTGTAAATTGGTCTATTAGACGACCACATAACTCATAAACTGCCAATAGGTCTATTAGACGACCACATAACTCATAAAGTGCCAATTGGTCTATTAGACGACCACATAACTCATGCAGTGTCAATTGGTCTATTAGACGACCACATAACTCATAAACTGCCAATTGGTCTATTAGACGACCACATAACTCATAAAGTGCCAATTGGTCTATTAGACGACCACATAACTCATAAAGTGATAATTGGTCTATTTGACGACCACATAACTCATGAGGTATCAATTGGTCTATTAGACGACCACATAACTCATGAAGTGTCAATTGGTCTATTTGACGCCCACATAACTCATGAAGTGTAAATTGGTCTATTACACTACCACATAACTCATAAACTGCCAATTGATCTATTTGACGACCACATAACTCATAAACTGCCAATTGATCTATTAGACGACCACATAACTCATGAAGTGTCAATTAGTCTATTAGATGACCACATAACTCATAAAGTGACCATTGGTCTATTTGACGACCACATAACTCATGAAGTGTCAATTGGTCTATTTGACGCCCACATAATTCATGAAGTGTCAATTAGTCTATTAGATGACCACATAACTCATAAAGTGTCCATTGGTCTATTTGAGGACCACATAACTCATGAAGTGTCTATTAGTCTATTAGTCTAACATTCTAGTGTCATATACCCAAAGTTCCACTGGAATAGAAGGGTCTTTTAGGTACTTACTACTTTACTAGAGGAGCTGCTGGCCGAGTGGTTACAACATTTGGCTCTCTTGCCATAGACCCGAATTGGACCCCCAGTTTAGTGATATTGCTTTTCTGTTGGAAGCCATTAAACATCCTAACCTGCGCAGCCTGTGGCAACAGCACCAGCCATGGGGTCCTAAATCCTCAGGCTCAGGACTCCCAGTCTACACCGCCCGAAAAAGTGGTAAAAAACAGACAGTAGTGACTTACTTTATTAGAGATAGGATCTGCAAAATTAGACATTTACAGCATATTTCTGTTGCTTTGGTTTTACATATTGCTTTGAATTTCAGTACCAAATGGTCAACTAGACTTTTTCTGATCAAGTCATTTTACTGTCCTCTGCTGTCTATAGTTTCTTTTTCATTGTATCATAAATTATAGACCTGATGCTCTTGCACAGCTGTGCAAAGTTACAGTCAAGACATCAGTTTCATTGCCCCAGATTGTCCCCATATTGCTCAGTATATCCTCAAAATGGTAAACTGTCTGCCAGCTGTGTCTCACAATGCTCAAATTCAACATAAATTTCACTCATAAACTGAACACCACATCCATCAAACTAGTGGTTTTCAACCAGGGATGGGGCACAAGGAAGTTCCAGTGAAATCGTTGAGCAGTTTTGAAATTGAAGGCATTTTTACTTGTAAACAAAGTGCTGCCAGTTTGATCAATCTTCAGAGCATGAGGCAGACAGTTTTACCGGCTTTCCAGAGGCCCCCCCCCCCCCCCCATTTCTATAGAATAATTGTAAGATATACATATGTATTCATGAACACATATAGCTGGCGTGTTTTTGTTTGTTTATTTATTTTTAAATGCTAATATTTACATACATGTTTCAGCATTCCGAAAGATATTGCTTCACTCCATCTTTCATTAGCCACCAACCCTCGACAGGAGCTGCTTTTTATGAAGAAGGTAATTAATCGTTGGGTTTTATTACAGTATGTAAGAGTCATGGTAACAGAGAGGCTACTGGTACACTTGTCAGTTGACCTGGGGACCCCTGAGTCAAATTCCCCCACTACATTGAGAGATTTTTTTTTCAATTTGATTGTATGATTCTGGGAACAGTCATGGTGTAGCAGCCAGACGCTCACCTTAGGCTTGAAGGTTGTAGGTTCAGATTCGCATGAAGCTGGATTATTTTCAAAAATGACTTTGGCTGCCAAGTCGACCCAGCCTAAAATGGATACCAGGTAGAGTCATGGGAAGTAAAGGCAGCTGATTCGATGTGACCACATCACTCACTGAGTGCTCTATAAAATTTAGTACTATATACCCAATATGCCTCATAGCGAGGAAAAGGGTCCTTTGTGTAGTTCTGCTGTCAACCATCTAGGTCCCTCCAGTGCAAACCCTATAAGAGTGCCATGTCTCTAAGTATGGCAGAAATATTTCACCTGTTGCTGTTTTCTCTGTCTAATCTGTCAACTTTATTTTTGTTCCTATCCTTCTGATCTTCTTCTTCTTCTTTGCATTCACCAGCTGTAAACTCTGGTGGAAAGTTCTGGTTGTTTGTCCACTTCTTGACGGCAGTCCTGTTCCAGAACCTGAGTGTTGCATGTGCATCCTTTTGACGGATCTGACACATTTGTTTTCAGACTGCTGGTTCCTTGCCTCTCAGGCAGATGCACTCCGACTTTAAAGGAAGCTCCCAATTAGTTGACTTCTACAAGATGCTTTTGGGTAGGCAGTGGGTCTATTCTTGTTTTCCCTATAACAGAGCCCCGGAATCCTTCTTATAATCTCAATATGTGTTCATTTTTTTAAATTAAATTAAATGACACATCTTTATGTGTAACTGTAGTCTCAGTACATCTTTTTAATTACTTTTCCAATGTAATTGCTTGTTCACTGTAATTTCTTCTTAACTCTTTGAGTCCCAGGCGGTTTAGCATCACAGGCCCAGGGGGTAGTAAAGAGAGTCATAAAACTGGCGCATCATGCGTTCATTGGGCTTCTAGGTAGGAACCTATGAACGTATGATGCGTTCCTTGGGACTCAAAGAGTTAAGTATAATTGCTTGTTCATTGTTATTGCTTATCCACTGTGCTATAAGCAAACTGAAGTCTGGAAGTTCAAATGTGTGTAATTCTTATTTCCATGTGGTTTGAATTCTCTGGTGACTTGACATTTTCTTATTGCAACCCTAGATATCTTTCCTAGCTATCTTGCGTTTAAATATTGATCCCATTCCAGTGTTACTGTATAAGTCAGTACTATTTTTATTTTTAAAAGAAATGCGTTATTGCATTTAGTTGAATGATGAATTAGGAATCAACATCATAGCGATCGGGACACTCCCATAAGTGCTTCGTTCCCCATTTTCAGCAGCAAATGAAGAGTTCTAAATCCGATGGCACCAGTAACTGTCTGATTGAATATCTGTCTCGCTTTTCCCTTGAGTGTTGAGCATTGGCCAGATCCCCTGGCAACTCCTCGCTGCGCCATTCTTCTCAGACCGTAATGATTTTTTTGCTCTTCCGCACTGTTCATTCGCTCCCAGAGGGCTCTCACAACATCTAGCTTGTCATACATCAGTTCACCACTGAGTGTTGCATTAAGTTTACAAGTTTAATATACTTCAAACTGACTGACAACTAACACCTGCTCATTTGTTGATTAAATAATAAGGTGATTATGAAAAAATTATTTAACTTTTTCAATCCCACAAAGTTGTGTAACAGGTTCCCAAGATGGGAGTTGGGAGAGTGGTGCTTTGGCTAATTGCTTGCATACTCACCCAAAAGTCTTGGGTTCAGTTCTGCATTGAGACAGAATATCTTATTGAACTGGAATCCCTGGTTGAGCCAGTCTAAAATGGGTACCAGGAAATGTCATGGGAAGTAAAGGGGACTGGTGTGATGTTGCCCATGTCAGCCCTCAAGTTTCCCATTTGGTTTCGGGTCCTTTTCTATGAAAACAAACTAATAGACTCACTGCCTCCCTAACAAGCATGTCTTAGGAGTCTACTGATTAGTGGTTTCCTTTGAGGTTGAAGTGCATGTGCTTGAGAGGCAAGGGACTAACAGTCTGCACACAAATAAGCTAGATCTTTGAAATGAATGTGCACACAGAATGAAACTGGAAGTTGATGAACGACTAGAACTTTCTGCTGGAGTTTACAGCCAGTGAATGCAAAGAAGAAAAAGACCCCTCAAGTGGTGCCACAAAGTTAAATCACAGGAAAAAAAACATCACAAAAACCACTGACTACAGTATAGGCAAAGTCTTTGCCAAAGCAGATTGAATGTACCTTTGCACACCAATAGCGCATTGGAAATCTGATACAAGACTCATGTTTTTTTTATAGACTTAATAATGGGTGATGTTATCAACTTTATGTTGGCCACCTTTACTTATCAGGACATTTCTAGGTAACACTTTTAGACTGGGTTGACCTGGGAGACAAGGTCAGTTAGGGCAAATCCGTCCTAGTGTGGTTTGAACTCAGTACCTGTGAGCCAGTAGGTAGGTGTCTTACCGCTGTCATACCTTGGCTGTACAGTAACTGCTGTAAGATAGTTAACTCTTTTACTGCTTTTATTTACCACTGTTAGGACAGGGAGCTCATGAACTTGAGGCTTTAACTCTTTTTTCCTCAAGGAAGGCATCTTATTTGATCACCATAATTATAAAGCAACACAGCAAAAAGGTCCCTTTACACACCAGTGGTGCATAGGGCATATGAGGCTAGAGCAGTGTTTCCAAGACATTTTGTCGTGCCATGCCTCCAGCTAAGCCTTTCTTACATTATAATCCCCCCCACCCCCCCCATGTAACTCAAATATATGACTATATTTTCAAACTGCATCCCCCCCCCCCCCTTAATAATCAAGCCGCCCCCCCCCCCCACACACACACACACTTTGAAACACTAGACTATACTTTTTTTTTAATAGACCAATTGACCCTTGATGGGTGATTTGGTCACATCATGCCATCCGCCTTTACTTCCCCTAACTCTACCTGATACCCATTTAAGGTTGGTTAAACCTTGGAGTCTAGGCCATGTTGTTTAAAAAAAACTGGCATCAGATGGATTTTAACCCACAGCTTTCAGATCTTGAGCTGAGCGTATAGCCACTACACCACAGTGGCTCCCAAGCAACACAGTGTACCTTACTTAATCTTTACAATTTGCTTTGAGCATACCATGCTAGTTGGACATTTCAGCATGCATCACTGCACATTTGCCTCTTTGGAAGTCACAGTTCTTGTCTTTTACATTGTAGTTTAGGCCTCCCTGGAACATCTGCTACGCAGTCTTCTGATACTGAAAGAGTTAAGGCCACATAGATAATGCAGTAGCCACAAACTGTGCAGGTTAAGATTTTAATTTTTGCCGCAGGTAGGAACAAAAATCTCCATCCTTTGCAGAGAATCAATTCTGAGTCTCTTGCATGAAAGGCCAGTGCGGTAGCCACTGATCTAACATTACAGTATACTGTTAGCAGCTTCGAATGTAGATAATTTGTTTAAGCTGCTTCCTTGTCTGCTTCTCAGAGTGGGATGCAGCTGTACTCTCATATACTGGAAAACCTGCAACTGGAATCAAACCACATTGAGAATTTTGAGTCTATCTACTGCACCATGTGTCTTATATGTCTGGAAGTGGGTCAGGACGAGGTGTTAATTGAACTCATTCGACTGGCCCTGGATATTCAGGTAACTGATCACTTCATTCTCAGCAGCTTTAGAATCTTTGATCGTTGTCGATGTAAATATAAGGAGGGTTCTTGTAAAACCTGTTCATGCCACACTGTGTAATTACTTGCTTTGAACATGGTCGTGTCATCATGATGTGATTTTCATTATAAATATAAGGTTCGATTCTTGTGGTTATACAAAATGTAAAACGTAGACATCAGCTATCTGTGAATTGGGGCCCAAGACAGCAGAACAGCAGTATTTGGGTAGTAATGTAAATAAAGATGAAGAAACTGTTAGAGATATTAAAATACGCATTCAAAAGGCAAGAGCAGCAAACTACAAACATTCATTAACTTGTGCATGGCAAGAATATAGGGAATTAAATGGTATGATAGAATCACTTATGTTGAGCTTTGGGAGAGAACTAAACAAGTTCCAATTAAACAAGAGGTGAAGAAAAGACACTGGCGTTGGATAAGACACACATTGAGAAAACCTGAGAACAATATAACTAAAATGTCTGCACTGGAACCCACAGGGACATAGAAATAAAGGAAGACCACATGTAGAAGGGAGCTACAGAGCGAGGTTAAAAAAGAGGAGAGCTGCATGTGATAGCAAAGGATAGAACAACTGGCATGAGTTGGTTGAGGGCTTGTGCTCCATTGGGGGTTAGGCAGGGAGAAAAGATAGCAGAACACATACCTCAGTAAATTTGTGTGATGCTGTGGCTGGACGACCATCTGTTCTACAGGAAGAGACTAAGCCATTTGCGATAAAACCTGACAGCAGTTACTCAGTCTGTTTTTCTTCAGGATCAGGCAACTCACAGTGCATTTCCTGCTTACTCATTACATAATTTGCCGTACCTAAGTCCTTATTTTGCTAGTGTATTATTCCATTCTGTCCCAGATTTACCTCTTCTTCTGCCCTTCTAACCTCCAGTGGAGCATAGGCCCTCTGCCATGTCATTTTATCCTTCGCTATCGCATCCGGTTCTCCCCATCTTCCCCATCTTTTTAACTTCATTATCCAGCTCTCTTCTCCGTGTATTTTATGGTCTTCCTTTATTTCTGTGCCCTTGTGGTTTCCAGTGCAAAGACATTCTATTTATATTGTTCTCAGATTTTCTCAATGTGTCCTATCCAACGCCAGCATCTTTTCTTCCCCTCTTGGTCCACAGGAACGTCTTTAGTTATCTCCCAAAGCTCTGCATTAGTGATTCTATCATACCATTTAATTTCCTCTATTCTGCGCAGGCACCAGTTGATGAATATTTTTAGTTTATTAGTAACTGCCTTAGTTTTTCTCCATGTTGCCGCCCATACAACAGTAATGATTTGACATTAGAATTAAAAATGTTTAGTCTAGTACTAGTTTTAATCTCTTTTGACCTCCACAAATTCTCTAGTGCTATGAATGCTCCTCTTGCCTTTTTTATTCATATTTTAATGTCTCTGTCAATTCCCCCAGCTTTATCTACATTACTGCCCAAATAAGTGTACGACTCCATGTTTTGGAGGTCCCAGTTTTTAAAAAATTGTTGACCCTAACTCATTTTGTTCTATTGTGTAATTATTTCAATATTTTAGACTTACACAGATCAAACCTTAAGTCTAACTTAAGTAATAAATGCTCCTTGCCGCTACCTGAGATAGGATGTAAAATAATGCCTTCTTGAGACTGCAAGATTTATGTTTTCATCGTTTTCCTTTTGGCATTCACCAGCTGCAAATTCTGGGGGAACGTTCTGGTTGTTCGTCCACTCCTGGACTTGATCTTCTTCCAGAACTTGGATTTTGCATGCACATCAGTTTTACAAGTCTGGCTTGTTTGTATGTAGACTATTGGTTCCTCACTGTCTGGCAAATGCACTCTGATTTTGAAGGAAACCGACACAGGGATCAAGAGCTAAATGAGAAGAGAGCATAGCATTTAAAAAAAAACAGTTAACTAAATGATATAATATTTTGTTGTGATTTCTTTGTTTAAATTAAGAAGACACAAACAACAGTTGATACAGTTGAATATTACTTAACTTACTTACTTACTTAGTTGCTTCTCTTCTACCTTGGGGTGTAGTTTGCCAGAAAGATCGCCAGGCATCTCTATTAGCAGTTTTCTTTCTGGCTTTGTTCCATTCCAGTCCTCTGTCAGTTAGGGACTGTCGAATGTTGTCTTTCCAGCGGACCTTTGGGTCACCCTGGAGGTTTGGTTCCCTGGTTCTTAGCCTGCCATGGTGGCTCATTTTCTCCCATTCTGCATACATGGCCAAACCATTGTAACTGCAACTGATCCACTCTGGTTTGTAAGGACTCGGTATCAAGATCTTGATGTATTGTCTGATTGCGGACTTTGTCCCTTCTTGTCACCTTGACCACCTTTCTCAGATATCTCATTTTTGAGGCCTGAAGCTGGCTTCTGTGAGCTGTTGTCATTGCCTATGACTCACACCCGTAGATCAAGACAGTTGAATATATTAGTGTATTATATTTGTGCACACTGCAGAAACAGTTGAACTAAATAAAGCAAATCAATGCATCCTTTCAGCTGAAATACATACACCCAACACACTCAAGTCTAACTAGCTGATTTACCAGGGCAAATGCCAGTTCACAACCATTTCTTTTTGTCTACAGAAAACTTGACAAACATGGTTGATTGCGACAGCTTTATTGAGCTATAGCAATTTACGATTGTTTGACATATAAAGAATACAGATAAGATACAGCAAAATATGTGTCTTTGCCATTTAGTAGTCCTTGGGGGTCTATGGAACAAAGGGGTCCATGATCAAATTTATTTAAAAAAACAAAGTTTAGAATCAATCCTGTAGAATACAGCTCTGATGTTAGTAAGTTATAATAAGTTCTTGTTATGACTATTAAAAAGTATAGGGATTGATGGTAAGTAAAGGTCCCTTGTCCACACCTTTAGGTGTATTGGGAGTATAGGGATAAACCTATATTTTTATAGACCAGTCGGGGTTGTTGGTACATCTTCAGAAATTGGTTAATAGGCTAGACCTATATTGTATAGACCAGCGGCACAAGATGGGTGATGTGGTCAGCATCATGCCGGTTGCCTCTGCTTCCCGGGACTGCACCCGCTACCCACTCAAGGCTGGGTCGACCTGGAAGCCAAGGTCATTTTTAAAGAAAAGTCCGGCTCTGCCAGGAAGCGAACCCATGATCTTTTGATCTACGGCGCCCGTCTAGCCACTCTGCCAAAGCGACTTCCTCTACAATTGGGTACCACTGAATTAAGCAATCTGTTTGTGCCGTGTTTGTTCAAATTTTCAGTAAGGGAATGTTTTGAGATTTCTCTGTTTCAGCAAATGGCTATGAACAGCTCAACCCTTCCCATGACTCATGTCTGTGCCATACACAGCCTTGTGGCAGCTTTCCTCAATTTTATAGCTCAGACAACCAGTGTCAGCTCTCTTTGTCCTTATGTCCAGCAGGTTGGTATATTTTGATGTTTGTTTGTCATTTTTTTTTTTCAATTCTTCATTGTTGATTCAACTCTGTAGTAATGCACCTGACGAGATACATCTAAATGTGTCAGGAAATAATTTTTACAATGTATTGTTTGTGTCCGCATTATTTGAATTTACAATGGGAAAACATTTTGAAGTTTGTGTGACTATCTGTTTCCTGAACTTTTATCAGCCCAGTGAATTCATTAATAGCTTTCTGGAAAAACAATAAATAGGATAAATCCCAAACAACACATGCAGCCTCATAAGAAGCTTTATTGCACACATGTGATAACATATCTCTTCAAATACCAAATCTCTGTGTGTACCAAATCTCTCCATGTACCATCTCTCTCTGTGAACCAAATCTCTATGTATACCATCTCTCTCTGTGAACCAAATCTCTCCGCATACCAAATCTCTCTTTGTACCATATCTCTCCGTGAACCATATCTCTCCCTGTATCATATCTCCCTGTGTACCACTTATCTCTAATTATCTCTCTGTTTATCACATCTCTCTGTGTACCAGATCTCTCTCTGTTTATATCTCTCTGCATGTCAGATCCCTCTGTGTACCAAATCTGTCTATAATGTATGTCTGTGTACCAGATCTCTCCGTCACATCTCACTGTTTATCACATCTCTGTCTGTGTCAAATCTTTTTGAATATCAATTCTTCTGTTTATCATATCTCTATGTACCAAATCTCTCTATGTGACAAATATCTGCTTAGCAGATCTCTTTGTGTTCCAGATCTCTGCATATCAGATCTCAGTGTTTACCAGATATCTTATCATCAGATCTCTATGTGTACCAAATATCTCTTTGTACTAAATCTCTCTGCATTTAAGATCTTTCTGTGTTCCAACGCTGACCATCTACCAGATCTTAAGTAGTTGACATTCAGTACATATTAATTTCTTTCTTTTAGGTGGTGGAAGTGAGGGAGAAGGAAGCACCACACTTGCTGCCTGACTTTGCCTTTAATCATTCCAACTGGTCTGACAACAGGTACGTTCCTGTGTTATTTTGTGTGGAGTGTAAGAATGTCTTTCATTTGATTTACTTAAGTTATCTCTTCTTCTTTTTTTTTTTTTTTCATTCTTCCTGCGAATGGTTTTCAGTTGTGAAGGTCACAGGCCTCTGTGAAGTCTGTGGTGTGACGCATATTTTCCACTATTCCATACAACTCTGTTTCCATTGGAATGCCTACCAGCCAAACATGGGACCTCTCTGCTGCATATAGAGAGCAAGTCTATAGCACATTTTCAGTAGTCTACATGCGGCGTCTGTGGCTTAAGCATTGCTAGTCTGACTCGTAATTCCAAAATACCATGATCGAAACCCACTGCTGGCTGCATGGATTTTCATCATGGCACGAGGCGTCGCAGGTCAACCCAGTCTAAAGTAGGCACCAGGATCCTGGGGAAGTAAAGACAGCCGGCGTAATGCTAATCACATTACCCTCTCTTTCTCTCTCTCTCTAGCTTCTCTCTCTTTCTTTCTCTCTAGCTTCTTTGTCTTTCTTTCTTCTCTCTCTCTCTCTCTCTCTCTCTCTCTCTCTCTCTCTCTCTCTCTCTCTCTCTCTCTCTCTCTCTCTCTCTCTCTCTCTCTCGGATAAAGTAGAAAACCAATGAGATCCTGAGAACTACGCCTGTGTCCTAATTACTCATTAAAACCACAAGGAAAAGACGCATTGATAATATTGGTCCAGAAAATAAGTAATACCGAAATAAGTCTTCTGTGGCGAAATGTCTGCTCTACACCAGGTGCCTGAAATATTAGTTTGTTGCATGTGTGTGTTTAGTGTGTCGCTGTGGTGTAGCAGCTAAAACCTTGCTTGCTGATTGGAAGGTCATGGGTTAGTGTCCTGACGGAGCCAGTCTTTTTGTTTTTAGAAATGACCTTGGCTCCTAGACTGACCCAGCCTTGAGTGGGTAGCAGGAGAAGATGGATTGGGAATGAGGTCCTGGAAATGGGGGTCCTGGAAAGTAAAGGTGGCCAGGCTGATGCTGACCACATCACCCACCAAGTGCTGATTGGTCTATAAAATATAAGCCTAGTCTCCTATATGCACAGTACGCCCGAAGGTGTGGAAGAGAGCCTGTGTTATTTTACGTGGTCAGTTCCCCGTGTGGGTTCTGGGGTCCCACGGCATAGAAAACAAGAATAGACCCACTGCCTACCTTCTTCTTTTTCTGTTGTTCGCTTGAGGTAGATTATCTATATCTGCAGTGTTGTCTCTAGTATGAACTTCACTGTCTGCTGCCTACCCAAATGCTTCTCATGAGAGACAATTTATTTGGGGAAATTCCTTCAAAGTTGGAGTGCATCTGCCTGAAGCAAGAAACTAACAGTCTGCATACAGATGAGTCAGATCTGTTAAACAGATGTGCACACAACATTCAAGTTCTTAAACAAGACTAGAGTCCAGAAGTTGACGAACAGACACAACGTTCTGCCTTGAGTTTACAAGTAGTGAACGTAAAAAAAAAAAGAAGATATTTGATCAGTAATCTCTGATGTTTGTATGATTGCAGCTCCATGGGAGAGCTAGAAGTGAGGGATGAGTGGGTCTTCCAGCAGGAGACGATTGCTGAGTGTTTGAGAAATTGTGGCATAGACGTCACCAGACTGAGTACACCTTTTACTGCACAGCTGATTGCTAACACAGATGGTATGTAGATGCTGTTTACTGTGCATGCACAACATTGCATTTTTATTTAGTGTTATCATTATTTGTGATTTCTTCTTCTTCACGTTCACTGGCTGTAGACTCCAGTGGAAAGTTCTGGTTGTTCATCCACTTCTGGACTTAAGACTTGTTCCAGAGTATTAGATGCACATTCGTTTTATCCTGTTGGCTTATTTGTAGGCAGACTGTTGGTTTCTTACCTCAGGTTCACTCCAACTTTAAAGGAAACATCCATAATTTTTTGACTCTTATGACATGCTTGTTAGGGTGTGAGGGGTCCAGTGGTTTTTTTTTTTTTAATTGGCGGTGGGGGGGGGGGGGGGGGGGGGGGGGTTCCCTGAGGGAATTCGCTTTTTTAAACTTATGTTTATTTGTTTTTAGAATTGTCTTCATTCGTGCATTCTGCCTGTTGTTTGGTTCTCGGGATGTATTCTTTTACCCTTTCATCCCAGATACTCTTTGGAAGAAATCAATGAATCTGAGGATCTCCCCCCCCCCCTCACCCCCCTTTCCTGGAACAAAGTACTTATTAAAAGAAACAAACATTTATTCAAGTCGCTTTTAAATAGCGTAATCACTTGATGCTCGCATGCAGATCGGAAGGTCATGGGTTTGCACCCTGGCGAACCTAGACTTTTTTCAGAAAGGACCTTGTCTCCCAGGTCGACCCAGACTTGAGTGGGTACCCGGTGCAGTCCTGGGAAGTAAAGGTGGTGGGCATGATGCTGACCACATCACCCATCTTGTGCTGATTGGGTCTAAAAAAATATAGGTCTAGCCCTATATGCCCTAAACGCCTAAAGGTGTGAAAAAGGGACCTTTACTTTTACTTTATATACTTTGAAAAAAAATTTTTATTTTTGGTTAGAAATATGTGAATGGGAGTGATGAATAAAACATGAATAGAGTTGAGAATTAATTGGAATACATTCCTTGGTCCCTTAAAAAAAACGTATAGGGTCACTCAGACTGTGACTCCAGGGCTGTGTTTAGGATATCTTTGTACAGTAATTTTTGTTACACCCCCCTTTTGACTCGGCTAAACTTCAGCAACACTATTATACTACCATTTTAATGCCACAACATTAATATAATGTGGGTGTCACAATGGTAAAAACCATACAAATAAAACTTGACCTGCTTTGGGGAAAAAATAAAAATCGTCACGTTCAGCCAGCATTCCCCCAACAGGGGAGCTTTGAGTTAAAATCGTGACTAGGTTATTTGTGCCATTTAAAATGGCTTAGCATTGCCCGACACCAAGTAGTCCTGAGAGGGACTCTTACAGTGTTGATGCAATCAAGAGAGCTGACACAAATACTGTCCTGACCGATGACGAAGTCGTCTGTGGACCAGCCAATGGGTGACCCGGGCTAGTTATGTACTGCTTCCCTCACAACTTTGCCATGCTGTTCATCTGTATGTGTTGCGTATGCCCTTAATACAGCCCTGCGTAAACCCACCACAGTGTGACTGCTAAAGGTGAATTATTATGTCAGTATGCCGGGGACAAGCCAGTACAGCAGTGCTGTGTTAAACGGCTTTTCTGGGATTTGTAATGGGCAGTTTCACTGAATTAATAGTGTATACTGGGATAACAATGTTGAGAAGCACTTGAGAATCGAAAATGTTCTTCGTGCAACACCATTTTGTTTAGAGTCACATCAAGAGTCACTTGTGAGTCACATACCTCATTCAACCTCCTAAGAAGTTATAATTAAGGCACCTGTAATGGCCGCAGGTACTTCCCCAGTGCATTCTGCATTCCTGCCTAGGTAAGAGGTTTTAATGGGTGTAAAAAAATCTCAAATTATAGTCAATTCTTGGCGGCTAGCTGCAAAAGCTGTGCTTTGTGAATCAAGAATCCTATATATTAAGATAGCAAAAAAGTTAGAAACCCCAGAGATATAGCATCTTTGAAGAATGCTATGAATCCCCTGGCCAGTTTATGTTTGGTATCCATTGGAGGCAAATTTACAAGGGCAGATAATTACTCACATCAAGATAAGACAGTCCTCAGTTGTTGGCCTCATGAGAAGTGAAGATCTTGAAAAAGTTAAAACTGAAAAGAGTAATTGTGTCAGCAGTCAGAGGGACAGAATACTGGATTAATCAATGAAACGGCATGGAATATGACTAGCATATTAGAACTTGAAAACTGTTTACTGCCTGTATTTTTACCTTTTTATCTTTCTTTTTTAAGATTAAAAGACAAAAGAAGGGGGAGGGTGAACATAAGCATTTAAGACCACATGGCTTGTGCGCCACCATGGGCTGTGCAGGTTAAGATTTGGTGTATGTTCCTGACAGAAATAATTTTCATCACCTCATTGTAGATTAAAACCCAAGTCTGTAAAATGAGAGCTAAGTATTCTTACTGCTTGGCCAGCCTCTCAGCAAATCAAACTTCAAAAGTGCAGTTGACATGTGTATGGAGGGAGATTTTTCACTGCAGAACAATGGAGAGGAAGGCAAGAGGAAGACCAAGAAAGATATGGATAAATGGTGTAGCCGAAACCTGCACACACAAAAAATTAATAAATCCATCACCCGAACCACCCGAGAAGCACAAGAAAAAATACAGAAAACTACGACACTGGGCTACAACCTGGTATCAGTGAGATGAAACAAGAAGAAGATGGAAGAAGATTATAGACTGTGCATCTGTTACTACATACATGATGATGATGATGATGATGATAGTGATGAATAAATTATACCTTAACAGATTTACATTCAGTGACTTCTTATAATTTTTGTGTCAGACACAGGTGATGGAGATTTGAGTGTTAGTGAGATGGGCTCAGTCAATATTGAATTTGAGCATAACGTGGACTCTTCACCAAAAACAGCAGTAAGTTTACTATTCCCCCCCCCCCCCCCCCCCCCCAGTAAGTTTGCTATTCCCCCCCCCCCTCCCTCTTTTTAAATGAGTACATCACACTAGATATGCACGTAAGTCAAAGATCAGTGTATCTGACTTTGACTTTCATTTGTTTTTATTTATGTCCTCTGGACAGATTGCTGTCAAGCTAACAGACATAGTTACCCATTGTTCTGTCCCTTCCCCCCCCCCCCCCTCCCCATATATTTGCCAGGACAGCAACCATATAGCCTACACTCTACTGTTTCTAGTTATGTGCAATTTTTATGTGTATAACATCAGGCATCCATGTTATCTCCTGAATGTGGGAATCTAATCTTGATCGGATTCCATGACTAGTCCAGTCTTGAAAGGGCAGAAGAAAGTGTGATGTTAGAAGAAACAAATTTACACAACTTACCCAGCTGTGGCAGAGCAATAGAAGTTGAGTGAGGTGTAGCACAACAGCACAAGTTGAATGAGATTCATCGCAGTGATACACACTGAATAAGCTGTAGGACCTGATTACTTCCACAGCAGAGTTTTTGTTGTTGTTGTTGCAGACTTTGAGTTACAAGCCATTGTTCATAAATTTTTAGAGTTTTAGCCATGCACAGCTCTTTTCATTCATTACTTATATAAAATTCATTACTTTTCCTAAACTGTTTTCAAAACCTCAATAATTTTCTTAAGAAAAGAATAGCATTCGATTCACATGTGAAAAGTACTGTTTGTGATCCAGCTGATGCAAAATTTCAAGAAAAATGTAACTCCTTTTCAAAGTCTCTATTTCATCTACTATTGCATCCGTCCAGCTGTGAACCCTGGCTAGATGGCTGCTTTGGCACAACACAGGAAATAGTTCTGAATAAGTTTCACTGTGATCGCAAAGGCTGTACTACTGAAAATGTGATCAGTTAGTTGGGTCCAGAGTTATATTAGTCTCACTAATGGTAAACCAAGTTCTAAATGATGCCTAAAAGTCACAAAGGGATGTTTCTATGAAGTGAGGAAAACAGTAAGGCAAGTCACAACAATCTAAATCAGTGATTCCCAAACTGTGGGGAGCCGCGACCTCTTCACTGAGGCACGCAAAATATTCAAAGATACACATTTTTTTTTAAATATCTTACATACAAATAGTCATACTTTTTACTTTCGCTAGGGCGCCACGGAATATGTTTAATTGAAAAAAGGTGCCGCGACTAGGAAAAGTTTGGGAAACACTAATCTAAATCATGGGAATGAACGAATCGAAAATTAACCTTACTATACTCATTGTCTCATCTCATACATGCTCTGTGCTCTTTACTTAGTAGCCAGTGAAGAATTCACACATTAATGGTGCCAGTTGAAGCATATTTAAAAGCATGCCTGTTTTTCCCCTACTTGTAGAATATCGTCCAGACTTTCTGCTCGCTCCCAACTGAATCATTCTCTCCAGACATAATTGCTTTGTCACTTCTTTTGCGCTGTTTACTTGATCCCAGAGAGCCTTCGCCATTACATACCCACTAGCTTCTTCTTCAGCAATCAGTGTTTGCTATGCCTCTATTCCAACATGGGTCCAAGATAGGGCGGTGTGCTTGAGGCCTTCCCTGGTGCCCCATAGTTTATCTCATTGGGACGCTCTTATGGACTGTGACGTGCGTACGCTTCATTGACTGTCGTATGTTTGAGCTAAAGTGACTAGGGGTGTCGCACGTAACAAATGGCATCAACACTTAACATGCCACTGGCCAAGAGTAACAGAAAATGATGAATGCTGAAGCTTCCAAACGTAGCGAAACGAGAACTCTCTTTAAAAGTTCCATTTGTGTATTGACAATTAGCAATGATCAACATAAGGAGAAATATGCAAGTAATATTTCATACTTATTCAAGCACATCAACAAAAGCCCGCTCGAACATCCATGGACTGATATGTCCTCACGTTAGGTCGCAGTCCGACCTTGAGATCCAGACAGTCATTTCTGTCTTCGGTTCCGTAGTCTGAATAAAGTAATGTAAGTCTACCGGCCTACTGCCGAAATGTAACATTCACCAGCTTCCTGCTGAGGTCTATAATGAAATCGCGGGGTAAAGCGTCCTCAAGGATCCAACTTTATATAATGTTTGCTTCCGTGGGATCCCGGGGTAAAGCGTCCTCAAGGATCCACACGTCCGTCTCCTTCGGACTATAAACATCGACTGCAAATTATACCGGCTTACTGCCGAACTGTGGCATCCCGGGGTAAAACGTCCTCAAGGATCCACCGTGGCATCCCGGGGTAAAGCATCCTCAAGGATCCACACCAGGCCGGACCAACCGTCCGCCTTGGTCAAACTTCGACTTTCATCTCCTAGAATACAATTCCTTCACAACCTGAAGTATTGTTTTGACGTCTTATTTGCTCACTCAGTACTGGTGCGTTCTGGTGCACATCCGCACGCGACATGGACCAAGTTTTTTTTTTTCTCTGACTGGCAGAGTCTGGGCAGTCCCATAAGACATAACTCTGGAATTTGCTTTTGTAAGCCGCAACCATGTGCAACAGAGTTAGCAAGACATGAGTTTACAATGTCCTATTCTGCCTGAAAATTTTGGTAGACCATTTCTGCTAAGCCTGTTTATACTGTCATGCTTTGATCTGTAATCTTTAATTTTCTCTCTTTACTCTGTCTTCATGGACTGTTTTAAGTGTCTTTGCCTCTTTAAAGCTCTGAGGTGGATGGAGCTGTTCAAAGTTCCTAGCAGTCTTTGCAAGCTCGTATGGCTTTTCTTCTCCAGGAATACCCCAACTCACTAGCTATTTGCCACAGAAAATTGATGGTTAACCACTGAGATAGTTATTGACCAAAACAGATGTATCTATCTTATCTACTTAAAAGGTTAAAGAGAAATTAGTGTATAAACCATCACCCTGATGTCTGATGTAATTTGTCTTTCAGAGAAAAACTGAAGAAATTACAGTTGACTCTTTGAAGAGAATGCTAGGTAAGTTAAACACAGTTGGATTTACTCATTTTGGTATTGTGTAAAGGTTTTTAAACTGACTGAATTAAATCACTGATTCGTCATAAGGGGTCTTTAGCCCTATTTTTTGAAGGATTAAAAGAGTAGACACATGGCTCAAAAGTGTCTACTGTCCCCAGACTCATAGTGAACTGCCTACTGTCCCTGTATACATAGTGAGCTGTCTACTGTCCCTGGATACATAATGAGCTGTCTACTGTCCCTGGATACATAGCAAACTGTCTTCTGTCCCCAGACTCATAGTAACCTGTCTACTGTCCATTGATACATAGTGAGCAATCTAGTGTCCCTGTTGCCCTGGATACGTAGTGAACTGTCAACTGTCTCCACACTCGTAGTGAACTGCTACTGTTGCTGGATACATAGCAAACTGTCTACTGTCCCTGGATACATAGCGAACTGTTTACTGTCCCCACACACATAGTGAACTGTCTACTCTCACTGGATACATAGGGAACAATCTACTGTCCCCACACTCATAGTGAACTGTCTACTGTGCCTGGATACATAGCAAACTGTCTCCTGTCCCCAGACTCATCTCATACTGTCTACTGTCCCTGGATACATAGTGAACTGTCTACTGTCCCTGGATACATAAGGAACTGCCTACTGTCCCAGCACTCATAGTGAACTGTCTACTCTCCCTGGATACATAGGGAACTGTCTACTGTCCCAGGATACATAGTGAACTGTCTACTCTCCCTGGATACATAGGGAACTGTCTACTGTCCCAGGATACATAGTGAACTGTCTACTCTCCCTGGATACATAGTGAACTGTCTACTCTCCCTGGATACACAGTGAACTGTCTACTCTCCCTGGATACATAGCAAACTGTCTACTGTCCCTGGATACATAGCAGACTGTATACTGTCCCTGGATACATATTGAACTGTCTACTGTCCCTGGAAACATAGCGAACTGTCTACTGTCCCCAGACTCATAGTGAACTGTCTACTCTCCCTGGATACATAGTGAACTGTCTACTCTCCCTGGATACATAAGGAACAATCTACTGTCCCCACACTCATAGTGAACTGTCTACTGTCCCTGGATACATAGCAAACTGTCTCCTGTCCCCAGACTCATAGCATACTGTCTACTGTCCCTGGATACATATTGAACTGTCTACTGTCTCTGGATACATAGGGAACTGTCTACTGTCCCAACACTCATAGTGAACTGTCTACTCTCCCTGGATACATAGGGAACTGTCTACTGTCCCAGGATACAAAGTGAACTGTCTACTCTCCCTGGATACATAGGGAACTGTCTACTGTCCCATGATACATAGTGAACTGTCTACTCTCCCTGGATACATAGTGAACTGTCTACTCTCCCTGGATACACAGTGAACTGTCTACTCTCCCTGGATACATAGTGAACTGTCTACTGTCCCTGGATACATCGCAAACTGTCTACCGTCCCTTGATACATAGCAAACTGTCTACTGTCCCTGGATACATATTGAACTGTCTACTGTCCCTGGAAACATAGCAAACTGTCTACTGTCCCCAGACTCATAGTGAACTGTCTACTGTATGTCTCTGGATACATAGTGAGCTGTCTACTATCCCTGGATACATAGTGAACTGTCTACTGTCCCTGGATAAATAGTGAACTGTCTACTATCCCTGGATACATAGTGAGCTCTCTACTATCCCTGGATACATATTGAACTGTCTACTGTCCCTGGAAACATAGCAAACTGTCTACTGTCCCCAGACTCATAGTGAACTGTCTACTGTATGTCTCTGGATACATAGTGAGCTGTCTACTATCCCTGGATACATAGTGAGCTGTCTACTGCCCCTGGATACAAAGTGAACTGTCTACTGTCCCTAGATATATAGCAAACTGTCTACAGTCCCCAGACTCATAGTGAACTGTCTACTGTATGTCCCTGGATACATAGTGAGCTGTCTACTGTCCCTGGATACATAGCAAACTGTCTACTGTGCCCAGATTCATAGCGAACTGTATACTGTCCCAGATACATAGTGAACTGTCTACTGTCCTCACACTCATAGTGAACTGTCTACTGTTCCTGGATACATATCGAACTGTCTACTGTTCCTGGATACATAGCAAACTGTCTACTGTCCCTGGATACATAGCAAACTGTCTACTGTTCCTGGATACATAGCAAACTGTCTACTGTCCCCAGATACATAGTGAACTGTCCCCTCACTCATAGTGACCTGTCTATTCGTGGACAATCTAGTGTCCCTGTTGCCCTGGATACAAATTCAACTGGTTAATTTCACAGGATACATATTAACCAATCCAGTATCCCTTGATATATAGTGAACTGTCCAGAACCCATGCATGAATTATCTTCTGTCCCTGTATACATAGCTCTAAGTGTGTGGGCTCTGGAGCCTCCCCAACAAGAATGTCATAGAAGTCGACCAACTGGGATCTTCCTTTGAAGTCATATGATATCACAACGTCTAGTTTGAGAATGGAGGTGGAGGCAGTTACTGCTGCCTTCCGCTGGCTTGAGAATCAGCTGTACACACATGCCGTCATTGTAACTGACTCACAGAGCATGTTGAGAAAGGTGGAGATAGGCATGCTCCGTGCAGAGTGGCAACCATCACTTCAAAGGTCCCGGATAGTTAGCATCCTTTGGATATTTTCTCTGGGTCATGTCGGTGTGTTTAGAAATGAACAGGCAGATAGACTGGCCAGTTCTGCACCACTTGGTGGTGAACTGATGTATGACAGGCTGGATGTTGTGAGGGCCCTTCGGCAGCGAGTGAACAGTGCCTACGAACAAATAGATCATTACGGTCTGAGGAGAATGGCACTGCAAGGAGTTAGAAGGGAATCTGGCTGACACTCGACACTCAGGGTAAAGAATAGAAGGATTTACAATCAGACATTTACTGGTACCACTGGAATGTTAACTCTTCACTTGTTGCTGAAGATGGGGATGGATCACTTAAGGGGGTACCCCAAGTGCTGTGATGTCTATTCTTAATTCAACATTCAGCATTTCTTTGAAGTCAGAGTGCATATGTCCAAATGCCAAGGAGAACCAGCTGCACACAAATAGTCCAGTAAAACAGATGTACATGCAAAACTCAGGCCCTAGCACAAAGCCAAAGTCCAGATGTTCTGGGAAGTAAAAGCCAGCATGATGTTCTCCACATGATCCATGTGTTCCATTCTGTTTTTCCTCTCTGGGCTGCTACTGAAGGTTTGACATATTTCTGAGTTTTTAAGAAAAGTCTGATTGGCAGAGACCAACAGGGCACACCCTCAGATATCCCCCCCCTCCCCCCCACCCAACCTGGTTAGAAATTATCATTGGGGCACCCATGACAGAGTCACCAGTCTGATGTCACCTACAGTCTTGCACATTTTTGGTGCTGTTTGTTCTATCAAGTGCTGATTGGTCTATCGAGTGCTGATTGATTTATTGAGTGCTGATTGATTTATCAAGTGCTGATTGATCTGTTAAGGGCTGATTGGTCTATCGAGGGCTGATTGATTTATCGAGTGCTGATTGATCTGTTGAGGGCTGTTTGTTCTATCGAGTGCTGATTGGTCTGTCGAGTGCAGATTGATCTATCAGGGCTGATTGGTCTGTCAAATGCTAATCGGTCTGTTGAGTGCTGTTTGATCTATCAAGTGCTGACTGACCGACTTTCTACCCCACTAGGACATCACACAAGCGATAAACACCCGATGATACAATGTGCCATCATGTGGGTGAGGATCACCATGGAGAGGTCCCAGAAACCGCGTTCAGCCATTAGGCCAAATTTATGGCTGGGCTATATTGCGGCCCCTGGCATGAGCCAGAGCAGCGCTTCAAACAACGAAAAATTGCATCCCAAATAGGACGGCAAGGTTAGTTAGTGTATCAAGTGCTGATTGGTCTGTACAAATATATTTAAAACATCATGTATTGATGCCCTGCTGGCATGAAAAGGGACTGCAGCTTATTTAATTTTTTTATTTACAATAAATTATATGACAGTACAGTATATCTTTACACCGACTTAGCTCATGTTTTCCTTTTTACTGTAACAGCTGAGGATAATTCACCTGTAAGGCAGAAGAAGAGCGTCACAGACGAGAAGTAGTCAACATGTTTCGGTTAGCTCCCTTTGAAGAGATAGTTGCTCGTTCTGAAGCTAAGGTACTCTCAGATTCTTTATGTTTTGTTCATTAACATTTATCATCTTTTTCTTCTTCTTTCCTTCCTTCCCCTTTTTTCTTTCTTTTTTTTCTACTGCTGCTGCTTCTTCTTTCTCTTCTTATCCTCCCCCCCCCCTCCTCCTCCTCCTCCTGCGGCTGCTGCTGCTGCTTCTTCTTCTGAAGCCAAGGTAATCTTAAATTCTTTATGTTTTGTTCATAAACATTTATTGTCTTCTTCCTTCTTTCATTTCCTTTATTCCCCTTTTTCGTCCTTCTTTCTTCTGCTGTTTCTCTTATTGTCCTTCTTCTCCTCCTCCCCTCCTGCTGCTGCTGCTGTGGCTTCTGCTTCTTCTTCTAATCTTCTTCTTCTTTTTTCTTCTTCAGCATTCTGAGCTATTGATGTTCATTAATATCATCCACCTCCATGCACCTCTCTGATTATCTTTCTCTGTTCAGTTAGTGGCTTCAAGCGTTAATTGGTCTGCCTGCACATCTGTTATCGTGGTGGAGGGGGGGGGGGGGGGGGGGGGGGGCGTGGCGGCGTTGTTCTCATATTATGAGTGTTGAGCATCAGCCAGATCCACTGGTCCTTCCTGGCTTGACCATTCTGTTCAGACCTTGATGATCTGTTTGGGCCTGTGCACCATTTACTCACTTCCTTAGGGCTTTTACATCATCCTTCTTGTCATGCATTCATTTACCACCAAGTTGTGCAGAAAGAATAAGAGAGAGAGAGGGAGAGAGAAAAAACAAAAGAGAAAAAGAAAGTATTAATGTAATTAACTTTCTAAGTATCATTTTAAAAGTGC